ATAAACATGTATAACAGTCAGCAGATTTAAGAAATAATATTATAATTAATATAAATAACTTGCCTATACTTAAACAAATAGCAAGGTTTAAATTTAAGTTGCACTTTAAGTAGCAATTATAATTAGTAATTGTATATAATTGGGCTTATAGTTGTGTCTTTAACTGTTTATTTTTGTATGCAGTTGAAACCGGAAGTTGTACACACACTCTTAAAAAGGCACAGAATAATTTTTAAAAAATGTCTGATGGTAAATTATACTAAACGTTTACTATTTTAGGTCCGTTAGGATTACGTAAATGATTAACATTTGCTAAAAGCCAGAATAATGAGAGAACTTTTTTGAGATTTTTTTTTTATTCTAGACAGTCAAAACTTAGAGATTTCTTTTTTTTTTGTTTTTTTTTTTTTTTTTTTTGTTTTTTGTTTTTGCTTTTAAACTATATAACTTTGGTAAAATGTTTTGAGTATCCTTCCACAAGCTTCTCACCATAGTTTGAAGAAAGTTTGGCTCATTCCTCCGGGCAGAATTGGTTTAACTGAGTCATATTTGTAGGCTGTCTTGCTCGCACAAGCTTTTTCAACTCTACCCACAAATTTTCTATAGCAATTAAGCTCAGGGCTTTGTGATGGCCAATCCAAAACATTCATTCTGTTGTCCTTAAAGCACATTTAACTAATTTGGCAGTATGCTTAGGGTCATGATCTGTTAGAAAGACCCATTCATGGCCAAGATTTAATTTCCTGGCTAATGTCTTGAGATGTTGCTTCAGTATTTCTACATAATGTTCTTTCTTCATGATGCCATCTATGCTGTGAAGTGGACCAGTCCCTCCTGCAGTAAAACAGCCCCACAATATTATGCTGCCGCCCCCATACTTTACAGTTGGGAGGGTGTTCCTAGGCTTGTAAGCTTTCCCCTTTGTCCTCCAAATGTAACACTGGTCATTATGGTCAAACAGTTCAATCTTAGTTCTATCGTACTTGTCTCCAAAAATTATTCTTTTCCCAGTGTAATTTAGCAAATTGTAATCTGGCTTTTTTTGCTGTTGTTGTTGAGTCTGGCTTGTTGATTTTGCCATGTTGTCACACAAGGAAGCAGTGTGTTTGAGGTTTTCCTTAAATACTATACATTTGTGCCTCCAATTAGTTAAAATCTTGTCAATTAGCCAATCAGAAACTTCCAAGACCTTGACACCATCATCTGAGCTTTTTTAGAGGCATAATAATCTTGTTGTATGTAAACTTGACTTTCAAGAAAAGTTATAACAATTTCCCAAAAAATATCTCATTATTCTGCTATTAAGCATAACATAAACAAATTTGATAATCCTAACTTACCTAAAGGGAAAAGGTTTAGTCACATTAACATCTGACTTTTTTTTAATAGTTATGTGCCTTTTTATACAGTGTATACAGTGTATCCTATACTAGTTTTAACTGTAACATTTTGTCTGATATTTTAACTGATCTTGCATATTATAGTGCGTGTGTGTGTGTGGAGGGGGATATTGTGCTTAGGGCACCACCATCAACACAAATTGAATCCTTCAGTATTCCCAGTTTAACCCCTGGTCTTCTTTATGGAAATCAGTAGAAAGATCGTTTAAAGAGCAGAAGATTCCAATGATGCTCTATTGTGCAGATGGAGAATGCATTTGGCACCAACACAAGAGACAAGCACTTTCCTAGACAGAAGAGAAAGCTTTGGAAAAACTGACTGCTGGCTTTAGTGCAGAGTGGAAAACCAGATCTGTTTTGAGCAACCTGTTGAAGAAAGTGAGATAAATCTACTTTAATGAGCGCAGTGTGCATGTCAGCAGTGAGGCATCTGTTAGCAAAAACTCCTAGAATGCAAAGATGTGGGACCTTCCTATTTTTGAGATAATGAAAATAGCAAAACATATTTAATGCTGATGGACACTTGCATATATTTACTCTTCAACTTTAAAGGGGACCTATTATGCCCCTTTTTACAGGATGTAAAATGTCTTGGATGTCCGCCGAGTATGTGAATTTTTAAGTCAAGGGGGGTGAAAGGGGCATTGCCTTCTCAGAAAGAATTAGTGCCAACTCGGTTTTCAGAAAGGATTAGTTCACGCAAATATGATTTTTTTTTTATGTCATTAATTACTAACACTCCCATCATTCCAACCTTCAGAACACAAATTTAGATATTTTAGAATATGAAAAGCAATTGAATTCTGAAAATTGTGAAATGAAAGTAATAGTCCAGAGATTTGGTCCCCGCGTCAGGCCAGGGTGCATCCAAAAAAAAAGGTAACACCCCAGTGACAGCTCTTGTGTATTTATTTCTGAGAGTGTATGTAGCCTCTAAAATGTGCAAACTTTGAACTCACAACTAATTCTTTGAATACAACTCTCTTAAGCTCTAAAGAGAAAAAACTAAGAAATTTGCCATTATGTTCATTTTAGAAGAGACACAACTAACAGTCATGGGATTTTTAGTTCAGGATTTATATCAGAGTAACCTAATAAAAATGTTTAGTTGGACACTCAGTAGTCACTATAATTAATATTATATTTTATTATATTCATTATTATTAATGTTATTATAAGCTATACAATTCACAAAACAGACAACCTTTTTGAATGTTTGCTTTCCTTTTCAAATCACTAAGCGCACTTTTACAGTTGTGAAAAGAAACATTCTAGTATGCAGCAGCAGTCTCAAGTTAGGAGACTTACGATGATTGACCTAATGAAATACGTATATAGTTTATGAGTAAGTGGATTTCCCGCGGATCAACTTCTCCCATGTGCTGCAGGTAGGCAGAATAATAATCTTTAGAAAAAAAATTATTTAGGCTATACTGCTATTTGCCTATGTAAAATTAAACATCAGAAAAAAATATACTGTAGGCCTATTTTAACAGCATTTTAAGTACATTTAGCATATCGATTTTATTTTGACTTGTAAGCTCAGGGCACTCAAAATAAAAATGTAACCAAACAAGTTATTAAAATAGGCTTAATAAATAAATAAAATGACGGGTAGGCCTAATAACCTATGGCTTTTGGTGACGTTTTTACAAATGCCAACTGAACAATTTCACGAAAAAAAAAAAAAAAACTCACTCATGATAGCCTAACATAAATCACTATTTTTACCTTTAAAATAATAATAAAAGTTATATAGTCTGAGTAGCATGTTATCCATGCCAAAATTGAATCAATTTTCAATAGAATTTATTTATTTATTTATTTATTTATTTATTTATTTTGAGATAGACAGACTCTGTTTGTCTGGCTACGCTAATGCCTTAAATGTAACTAAGTAACACATTTAGATACTATTTTTAAAATGACATTAGATTGTAACATTTCACTTTTTCCTAACACTTTGGTTCGGTAATGAATTTCACTATACTTACCAGTTATAGGATGTCTAACCGGGGGTTAGCTTCGTGTGTGGGCATAGTTTGACATCTTTACTTAAAACTTTAAACATTGATAGTATTTGAAAGATAACGGAAAGGAGAATAAAAGCACTTTTTGCATGGAAGCCATGATCCGTCTGCGTTTATGTACGTTGCCTAACCTTCAATGATAAAATCAGTAATAGCGAAACTGTGCATATTATTATTACCATAAAAAAATATAATACTGCCCTAAGTCAGTAACTTAGGCAGTAATGCAAACTAATAAATCAGTGAATATATAACCTAAATGAAATAAACAAGAGGGACCAGATTCCAACACAGGCTCATTCTGAAAACGTAGTCCCGTGGACATTTCTGGAGACCACGAATTATGTAGCCGGAGGTATGTATGGCTTAATTTATTTTTTTAAGCGAACACTGCGGGGCGGTATGACGCTGTTCCTTTTTACGCTTACCAGACGACTGCGTACCTCCGTGTGGAGGGCTTACCCGCTGCAACCAGTCGGTAAAATTTGTTGTGTTCAGGGGAGGAGGGTGGGTCAGTCGATTGGCCAGTCGTCCAGTCAATTGTTCAGTCATTCAGACAGACGGTAGGTCGACAGCGGCCTCTGGTGGGTTTACACGAGAACAGCACGGGTGTGAACGGCACTCGCAAGGTACATTTGAAACATGAAAAAGTGCACACAGCGGCCTCTCGCAGATTCGTGAAAACAAAAACTGCAAAAATAATGTACTTCCTGGGAAATATTTCGCAGTCTCCAGAAACGTCCACAGGACTACGTTTTCAGAATGAGCCTGGGTTGCCAAAATCAGTCACCAGTTCTAGTGCCCCCAATGGCATTAAAATGCCCCCTCAGTTATGACATCCTGACTGACCTTTTTAAGCTTTAATCCTAATTGTGCCTTTTTGGTGACTGTCCCTTTAAATTCAAATGAGATTGTGTTCCCAGCCCTCTTTTCAGAAAAGGGCGGAGCTACAAACGTCTATTTGTCACCATAGTGGCAGACTCAAAAACAAGACTTGATGACATGTACAAAGAGAGAATGTCAATCTAAGTGTTTCTGCTGACTGGTTATGAAGTGTGATTATAAAAAATACAATTATTAATGTTTACCATTAGAAGCTGCATATATTCACAAACTGTTGCCACACAGCTGCGTTTAAACACTTTAATAAAAGGGATTTTTGCATAATAGGTCTCCTTTAAAAGATAATCTGAGTGAGTAAGTGAATAAGATAGCCTTATCCCCCCTAAAAAAAAAAAAAAAAAAAACTTTTGGCAGACACTGCTATTCATCAAAAGCAATGAAAGCTGAATCATTTGAAAAGTCAATGGATTTTGGCTGGGGATAAATCCTGTCCTTGGCAGATGAACCTTAGATGAAGTCACAGAGAAAATATGAGGCAGTGCTACATGCCGCACCCACAGCTACACACACAAACACACAACACACACACAAAAGGCATTTTTAGGAATGAGGGAGCATTGCGAACCAATTGTAATGCATGCAATATACTATAATAACTCCCTTTATCAGTTGTAAATAGTGTGACACTGCAATTATATAATTAAAAAATGCAACATGAAGACTTGTATTATCAATAGTCATGAGTGTATTTTCCACTTTTCTTCTGAATGAAGACACACAATACAATAATGTTATTTACATTTCTAGTCTCTATGGGAATCAGGGGCTTTACATTGAAAAATAGAATATTCTAAGCAGCATTTGATGTTCGTTTAACATAAAAGATACATTTCGATTTTTCAAAAGATAAAATATCTACAAGGGCTTCTTACAAAAATACATCCTGATCATTGCAGCACAACAACATTCAGAGGTCTATTCTAAACACATTATTCAACTTCAACTTAATAATTTAAACGTAAAATCACGATTTTGAATGTGAAAGCAATTGCAAGATAATATTGATTAATATACCTTGATTTCCTTTATGGTTTTTGTCTTAATTCTGTCAGAAGTCATTTTTCATGGACATTTAAAAACAAAAATCATAAATGTGTCACTGACGCGAAAATAAAAAGCTTCTTTGAATTCTGTTTGACAGATTAGGTAGCTTTGCTTCACGCACCGAAATTCTAGCTTCATCTTTTCCACATGGCCTCTTTCTGTGAGTATAGTTTGTTGTAAGTCAAAGCAAACAGTTTTTAGCCACAGAATCCCATGTGGTCTTTGGTGTAATATGAACAGACTAATATACTGTAATAATTCCTGTGTATGAGGTCTAGCAAATCCCTTAATTCTTTTTATTAGAGTAAACGATTAGTACTTCCTTTGTGTTGGCATTCCTTTCTTTGGAGTACTTGTTTTGAGAATTATTCTGACATGAAACAGGCAAGCCAGGGATTTACAAATTGTGAGTAGTTTTTTTTTTTTTTTTTTTTTTTTTAACTCACTACCTGCCCAGCATAAACAAAAAAGACACAATTATGGTAAATCTTGACTTCTTCTCAATAGGGTATATGCAGAAGGCCTTTTAATTTTGCAGAAACCTGGGTCAAGCGCTTCCGGTGAACTGTATGCAGTTACAAAATCAGGGTCTGTTTTCTTAAAAATCCACAATCTCAACTGCCTGATTGATATATGATATAGAGTGGGTCTCAGATTGTAAAAGAAGTACTGCATTAAATTAAGGTTTCCTGTGCCATGTCTTCCAGTATTTTAAATGGTGCTTCTGCGCGAGCTTGCTGATCCTGACAGTGCGTGCTTGCAAAAGGATTTTCATTTCATTTTACGCTTGAACAACTAAATGAATGCTTAAGTCTATTGTATTTTAATTACATTACAATATTGATTCTGTAAAAGAAACCATATAAAATTGAAAAGTCACAATAACCATTCACCGGAAGTTTATCGGTATGGGAAAAAAACACTAGCTGTGCATATAACCTATTAGGATGGCAGGGAAGTATGATGGCATTAGTAAACATCTACTTGCTGTATTTAGCCAAGTTAACGTCTGCTTTATTTACAATTAACGAATTAATTAATGAGGCACATCTGCAGAGATGTCACCAAATAACCAAAACGTATTTGTGTGATCATGGAAGTATGTCTTCCAATAAAAACACAGTAAAAAAAAAACTGCTGTAAAATTTACAGTATAACTGACAATTTTGGTTGCCAGTAATGCTGTAAAATTTACAAGCGCACTGTAAATTAACACTTAAAATTGTGCTTTGATTAATTTTACAACACAATTGTAATTATTAATTTACAGTGTATTTTTTACTGTGAAATTTTACAGTATTATTGGCAATTTTTACAGAATTACTGGCAAAAATTACAAGCACACTGTGATTTAACAGTTATGACTGGGCTGTGGTTTTACAGTCCAGTTGTAGTTGTTAATTTACAGAGCACTTGTAAATTTTACAGTATTACTGGCAAGCAAAATTGCCAGTAATACTGTAAGTTTTACAGCAATTTAAACTTAAAGGAACACTCCACATTATTTATTTATTTATTTTTTAAAAATAGATTTTTAACTTCACTAGAGTTAAAGAGTTTGCCACTCTGTAAAATGTATATAAGCAATTAGTCATGTCCGCATATGTTTTTAATTTATTGTAACTTATTAAACTAATTAATTCATGTTCTAACTTAATTGTATTAGTTACACAAGCTGTTTAAGACAGTTTACACAATATAAGTTTAATGGAATTATACGGTTAATTTGATTCAGCTTCAAAATTTAAGGTAACCAGGATATTTTTACAGAGCAGCTTTACCATTTTCATCATGGAATGGCAGCAAAGTTCCTTGATTATCATGTCAGAATAGTTCGGCTCATATCGGCCAGACAATTGTAGCTTTTCATTTTCTATTGGATTTAGTTTATGATATAACTACAGAAGAGTCAAGCTAGGAGAATTATTTAGGACAATTTAAAAAATAGTAAAACTCAAATGTAACTTTACGGGAGTTGTAATGTAAAATAAGCTTATTAAAAAAAAGTGCAGTGTTCCTTTAAATGGGCATGATGAAAATCATCAAACTAAAAACTAAGAATTTGAGATTCCCAATCACCTCAGACTTAAAGGGACCTAAAAGTATAAAATATATTTTTAAGCTCAGCTCTTCATAAGATGATTTATGGAAAAAGGCACTATAACGTTTTCCATCATGTGAGATTTCTCACATGATGGAAAACTCAAGGAAGCTACCACCATAATTGCTAAAGGTCCTTAATATGACTATGTGTCACTTTGGTAAATGAAGCACAAGACAAGAGATAAAAATCACAAATTCTTGTGACATGGTCATGTTGTTGGTCACATTAAAGATCACCTCAATAAAGAGAGCTAATGAAATTGAAGAGAAAAGACAGATAGAGTACATCTTCAGAACAGGACTTGCCATTCAATTTGCTGTCTGTTGATAGGCTGAAACTTGTGCAGGATATTTCAACCTAGCCAAAGTCAATGCGTGGTCGATATTCAAGTACCATTGGGTAGACCTGGAGAAAAACATAATAGCAGAATAGTAAAATATGTCAAACTGATGGTTTTCTTTAAGACTGCATGTGCTCTATCAGACATATTCTGATATTCAATAATTCCATATATTGTCATAATAAACATTCACAATAGATATTATGGACATCTCAAAATACAGTGAGTAATTATTTAGGACACATGTTAATAGCGTGAATTATACACTATAAAATAAACCATTGACAAAGACTTTTAGCTCAATTAATAGTAATTAGCTGCTTATGAATAGTTATAGTAGTTGAGTTTTGGTATTAGGTAGGATTAGGGATGTAAAATAAGATAATACTTTATAAATGCTAACAAACCGTTAATATCTTAATAATAGGAAGGTAATAAGTCAGTAGTAAATGGTGTTGTTACTTAAACTAAAGAGTTACCATTATTTATTTTTTAAACTTTTAGAGTGCTTTTTAGGAACATTTATATTGCACTTTTAGCTGTTTATAACAGGGTCAAATGCCGGTGAGTTGAATTCAAAGTCGTAATTACAAGTCATAATCCTTTATTATTTGGAGTTAATAAAGAATTCAATTCAGTGGTTTTCTTTTTTTTAAATATTTACAGTAAGTAACTGTAATCAATCTCAGATTCTCACTGTTGTTTTAAATCCATTGACTATGACTTATTGTAAAGCATCATCTATTGTGCTATTGTAGTTTTGCAATTGAATTAGCTAGAAACACTTGTTTACTCTAAATATATATATACAGTACAATAACGTATATCAGGGGTCACCAACCCAGTTTCTGGAGAGCCACTTTCCTGCAGATTTTAGTTGCAACCCTGACCAAACACATCTGTTTGTAATTATTAAGTGCTACTTTAGGTACTATTAATTGGTTCAGGTGTGTTTGATCAGGGTTGGGAATGAATTCTGCAGGAAGGTAGCTCTCCAGGAACAGGGTTCGTGACCCCAGACGTATTTACTGTATGTTGAATGTACTGTATTTACAATAAAATAATACACCTAGTATTTTTTTGATATTATACATTTTAAAAGTAACTTTTTTGCAGCTTGGATCAATATCCTGATAATACCGCATACCGTGATAAAAGCTTCAGCTATTAATTGAAGCAAGACAATTTGATAGCTTTATAAAACTGTGTTATTTATTGTATTTTTCATATTTAGGTAGTTTAAAAAACATCCACTATTTCAATAATCTTCTAAATGCCATTTCCAATTATTTCCCCCACAAAGTTTACCATGAATTCACAACAAAACTAAACAAAACATAATTGCCAAAACAAACCGAAAAGGTTTCAGTTCTACATTTTTTTCAGGAAAGCATATGCAAATGCAAGAAATGGGTAAGACTTTATATAACAAAATGATCCAAGTAGGGATGCATGATATATCGGCCGATAAAGGCTATTTTTAAGGTTGTTGTTATCGGTCCGATGTCAAAATTAGGCATATATCTTTAAGCGGAAAAATTACGTAATTGTATGGACCTGCCTGCCTCACACTTGCATGAGCGGAACTTGTTCAGACTGGTCCAGTGCACTGTGGGAGCTTTCCTCACATTGTTTATTCCTTCAAAGTCCATCCTTTCTTCATGTGGTATTGCTGTGCATTAATAACTCAGTAAGTAATCATGGTCCTTTTCATTGTATATATGTTTGACAGAGTGTCATTGTGTATTTTGGTTTCAATCGCTTTGGCAAAAATACATCTGTAAACATAACAGCAGCGATGCACACATGCTAAACAACTCAATGGGTTGTTTGTAATCTAATAATATTTGTTTTTATCAACGGGTTGCTTGCCATGTGAGCTTGCCAAGATTGTATTTAGTTTGATTGGAATATTTATGATGATTATAATTTTAAAGAGGACTCGTGATGGCTATTACCACAGTGACCCACACATAGTGAGCCGACAGAGCCACTCCAGAATAGGGGTTCTTAGCCATTCGTCACATTCTGTCTTTATATTATGCACTGTGTTTGTCATAAAGTCATCTGTGCTCAATGCTTAGGTGTTGTATCAAAATTTGATTTGAGGACAAATCGGACTCCGCTTCGTCACACAGCGCCTTCAGTTAGTTTCAAATTCACAGCGATTTCAGAGGATTCACAGATGTTTTATTCTTCGTGGAAAATGCAGCTACATCTCAAACACACTGATTCACAAATACTCTCAAAAAACACAGTCAGAGAAGCTTTATACAGACAGAAGTAGGTAAAGATATTTCACTATTGTACCAGAAAAAAAAGAAATAAAACATGTGTTCTCTGACCCAGTTCTGAGCCTTTACATTTTACAAGGTTTTCAGTTTTAAACTTTAGATTTCATAACGCCCGGTGATGTCAAAATCTGATTATGTAAATCTGTTTTAAAAAAAGCTGTGATGGAAGTCATATACTTGACTGATCCATTTAATTTTTACGATGACTTTGGATATCAACTTTATTATATTTTATTATATTATATTATATTATATTATTATTCATTTATTCATTTTCCTTTTGGCTTAGTCCCTTTATTAATCAGTGTTCATCACAGCAGAATAAACAGCTAACTTATCCAGCATATGTTTTACACAGCGGATGCCCTTCCAGCCACAACCCAACACTGGGAAACACCAGTGGGGATCGTGCTACCCACTGCACCACCAAGACGCACTATTTTGTTATTAGTTATAGTAATTAATTAAAGCTATTAGTAAGCAATAACCTCAACTTTTCTGATTTTTATTGCAATGCAATCGTTCCCAAAGTGAGAGTTGGGATCCCCTGGGGGTTCATGGGACAATGACAGGCAGTCGCTTTGTAATTTTCAAAAGTCAAATAAGTTTTAATAAACTATTAGAATTACCATATTTTATCCATAACCCACAGAAGATGACAATAGTAGTTAATAGTTACATAACAAAGCAACAGCATGTAAATAAAAAGCCATCAGCCTTTTATTTTATTTTTTTTCACAGGATTGGTGCTTTTATATTAGATTAAAAACATCAGCTTCAGCAGACTGATTTTATAGCAGGTTAAACTTTCTGACAGCTTTATGGCAATCAAATACATTAAAAATGAAAACAGGCCAGAACTGAATATTGAGGATGATTTCTGAGAGACGGTCTCCAAAATTAAACAAAGAATAGACTTGTGTTGAAAATATTCTGCCCACCAGTCTCATTAGATAAGGTTAATAAACAAATTAATATATGACTATATTAATTATAGCCTATATTTGTTAGACTGTAACACTTTTTTGTGTTGTCAATATGCTCGTGTTTATACCTATTGTTGAGTGTGCAACATTCGTATATTTATAACCCCCTCTGAGGAATGTGGGGGTCGCGAGCCACTGCCATTGTTATTTTGGGGGTCGTGGGCTAAAAAGATTAGAAACTCTTGCAATACCATGCACCGTACACCTACATAAAACAAAAAAAGACAAACACTTTAAACACAAATTTCAGTTCCTCTTACTCCACATCATAACCTTTATTTTTAAGTCATTTAAAGAAATAAAAAGTTATAAATATTCTAGGAAAATGTAGTATTTAATTTCATGTAGTTACATGATACAACTCATTTATTTTATATACAGTGGTGGAAAGAGTACTGAAAAATCATACTCAAGCCCAGCCTAGTCAGTCTAAACACAACATTATTTTTATGTACAATAATGACGTCAAATCACTTTGATATTTGGTTGACTTTAGGTAATTAGAAAGAGACGAAAATCCAACGTCGAGCCAACATCTTAAACTAACATCATATTGATGTCAAATACTGACATTTATTCATCAGGTACGGCAACCAAAATCTAATGTTTGATAGATGTCATAGTGGTAGAGGTTAATATTTGGTTGATTTTAGGTTGGACATTGAACACTGACGTTGGTCTGATATTAAGTTCTGACGTCAACCCGATTTTCATTTCAAAACAAAACACAATGTCCCCATGATGTTAGGGTACAAGGTCAATCTGACGTCATGTGCCTGCTGGGTGTTTAAGGCCATTTCAGTCATCATACAGTAAACATTCGTTATCTTCTCATCAGTGACATGCATCTAAACAGTCTGTGGGTCAATGCGTGTAAAGATTTTGGACATTATTGACAATTTTATTGCTTCTAAACTGTTTGCTGCAATTATAAAGCACACATCTCTTGAGGTAGTTCATTATGGTGCAATTTACTTTACTAATTTTATGTTTATATATGTATGTATATATATATATATATATATATATATATATGTATATACACATATATATATATATATATATATATATATATATATATATATATATATATATATATATATATACACACACACATATATATATATATACACATATACATACAAACATACATACATAAATACATATATAAATATACACAGTTGAAGTCAAATCAACACACACACACACACACACACACACACACACACACACACACACACACACACACACACACACACACACATACATATATACATATATATATATATATATATATATATATATATATATATATATATATATATATCTCAACATGTTTTAACTGAATTTTAACTAGAATTTTATATTATTAGATTTAATCTTGAAGAGGCAACTATCAAAACTCAAAATGGTGCTGAAAGGTTAATGACTGAACAAGCTGTTCTTTCAACCATTAGAATACACAAAAATAGATTTAAGTAGTTTTAGGGTCTGAGGAGTGGCTGTACCACACAGATGGAAAGGCATACACAAATCAAAAGGGTATGCAGGGACCCTCATTAAGACGTGACATTACACGATGAAGACCCCGGGTGAGTTGCACGAGGACACGCACGAGTAGGGACCCCCTACTGGGGCATCCATACCCCCCCTTCACCACTTCAGCAATTCATGACCTGACACCTACACCTCATACCTCCATACTTCATTACAGCCTTGTGTAAAAGTGACAGTCACAATGCTAGATTTAACTCTGTATGGCCTGCCCACTTAAGGAGGGACACAAGAAACTAAGCTGGCTTTTTTTGGAATAAACCTTAAAGTTTTATGGACTTAACTTTGCTGCTTTGAATTGTAAATGCCAAGAAGAACACAAGCCACACAACTTGCTATGAAGCTGCTTTGAATAACAGGCTCTGCCACACTGCTCACCCCAGTGGAAAAGATGAGAGGATTTAGATTTCACACATGAGAGGAGAGGAGAGGAGGAGATGCTGGTATTCTCATGACTTACATTTTCTCCCCGAAGCCTCCAGCGGGTCATGTAGATGAACTCCATGGTGTGGTCTTTGCCCATTATTTCACCGTTGCATAGAACATCTAGCTGTGGAAACAGTTAAGTCACTGTCAGGTCAATTTAAATATGGTAGGCTAAAACACACAAGCAGAAATCAAACAAACGAGACAAACTGAAAACAAAGGAATTGTCATACTCCAGATGCAATAAGGTGCAAGATGTGTTTGCTATATTTGCTATTTTCACACCAGCGCAACCCTAGTTTCAATTTTGCACCATGGTGTTTAAATAGCAAATCTATTTGCACCACTTTGTGGACTCATGAGTGTGCCGGTCTAGAAAAGAGGTGTGTTAAGGCACATTGTTGGCATGCTGCTATTTTGAGAAACAAAAACAGACTGTGCAATAGACCAGCTGAAAGCAGAGTGCATTAGTTGTGCATCTCTAATGCTTACGCATTGGATAATACACACAGGATGTACAGCAATAAGCAAATATCTTTACAAATGAAAAAGAATTAACCACTGCCTTAATGCCTTCTTTATCTCAGGGGGCTTTTTTAAGTCTATTCATGACAACTTGCTTTTGTACAATGTTATTATTATTATTATTATTATTATTATTATTAGTAGTAGTAGTAGTAGTATAAATAGTAGTATTTATTATATGTATATTTATTTTTGTTTTATTAAAAACAAGCTTAAATTTGTCCACCTGACAGGTTTTGGACCATATAAGGCGTAGGACGCATATTTGAATATAACTAACAAATTTTTTGACCACACTTAGCTAGTATTGCTCATTTATTCATTTGCTAGAAATTTTAACTGAATTTATAAATAGTTTTGAAAAAAAATGTGCGCGTAACAGACAAAATTAAATATGTAGGCTATGGATGTCTTCAGTGGAGTGCATACACCACTGTTTCTTTATCCATGAAAGAGAGAAAGAGAAAGTAAAGAGGCTGAATGGGGGAGGCTTGTTCTTTATCCTCGTGTGCAGATGGTCTGTTTAACGGTTTTCTCACTAGTGAAGCATTCAGTTTGTCCACTTACTATGTCCGCCATGTAAATAGCAAATGCGCCATGGCATGATGCAACTCTTAAAGTTAAAGGGAATGGGAGATGAGACTCTGATTGGTTTAATGCATGTTATGCTCAAAACACACCCATAACTCATTAGGAGAATGAGCACAAACCTGTTAGACCATGCGCCATGGCGCAAACCATATTTTTCACTCCTTAAAATAGCAAAAGTGGATTCGGACATGGCCTTAATGCTTTTGCGCCATGCGCTTTAGATTTTGCATCTAGATTGTTAAAATAGAGATTATAATCTGACTGTCGAAAATGCAGGGTTCGCAGAATTCTTTCTTGTTGTTCTAACATAAATAGATTAAGAAACAATAAATTTGATTCAAAACATGATGCCATAATACATTAAAAAACATTTCTGCTGCTTGTTTAAACTACATATTTAAAATGACCTGAAACAACATTATTACGAAGATTTGAGATCCCATAATTATGTTCAATCCACTTAAATTTGTAAAAAAGTTTTTTAAGTCTTAATTTAATCTATTTGTGTTGAGACAGCATGGAGGAATTAAGTTTACTTATTAGTCTTTAGAAATTTAAGTAGATTTAAATATAAAATTATAAAGTTGTCCCATTAAGAAACTCAATAATTTTGGTATTTCAGTTTAAATAAATTTCTATTTTACAGAAATAGTTTAAATATGCAAGCTTTTTTTGTGTAAGCTAAAACATGATAATAAAGTGGTTAACTATTTGGTACACTCTAAAGGGCGCCAATCTTTTGTCACATTGTCAAGTAATTTTAAATCTTTTTTTTTTACTCAGGTGTAGACAAAAAATAATTAATAAATAAAAATAAAATTTCTAGAAGGCCTGCAACAAAGAAAATTGAAATTGTCTGGCTCATACAGAACAAGAGCTTGAACAAAGAGTTGCGTAGCATACCCTGATAGGAAGGGGCTGATCCTGAGCTCTTGATCTTTAGACACGTGCTATATCTAGACAATATACCCAAAAAAGAAACCTACTGTACATATAGTGGACTAACAAATGTTACCTCATAAGAACTGGGAAGCTTTAACTTCAGACTCAGAAACTTCTTGATTGTTCCAACAGTCACTCTTGTTGAGCAGCGAATAAATTTTTTCATTAAGCCCTGGAAAACAAAGCAAAAATTGTCAACAAAAACAACCTAATCATGACAGCTTAAGTAACACTGAAGAACAGAGTAATGACTCGGTTTGCTTTAGTAGTACAATTCACATTTTAAAATGTTTGCAATAATACTAACAATTTTTACTTGAAATAAATATGCCTCCAGTGTGCTTTAGAGACTTCTTTCAAAATAAGCCAAAAATATCAAATATTGCAAACAGTTGATTTGTAATCCATAAACAGAACACAAAGAAAGGAAAGAAAATAAATAAATAAACTTTTTGACTGAAATGTTTTGAGAAATGGTAAATATTTCAGTTCTCAAAACAAATTTACAAAGAAAGAAATTTGCTAAAAAATACACTTGCGAAACAAAACCAATGAAAAATAATTTCCACACTTTCATTATCAGTTTTTTAGAATATCCCAAAAGGCATATATGAACACAAACTTTTAATTTTCAGCCAGCCAGCCTGTCTTTCCACTACAAAATTCCCATGTTTAAGATCTGTTTTCTTTAAAAATCTGTGATTTTCTCTGCCTAATAGATACTTGATATAAAATGGATCTCAGACCAGACAAGAAGCACTGCATTAAATTCCATTTCCCCCCCGCCAAATACGAATATATATTTTACCGCTGTATTTTGAATGAAGCATCTGCACTCACCTGCTGATCCTGACGACGCTAGTGGTTACATAGTCTATTATCTAGCTTGAACAACTAAATGAATGCTTACGTTTATTTACTGATTATTTACTAATTGTAGTTTGATTACATTAAGATGTCGATGTTGTAAAAGGAACCTTATAAAATTTAAAATATTCACAGAAACCTTACACCTGAAGTTTACCATTGGCTGAAAAACAGTGGTTGTGCATAAAGTCCATTCAACAGCAACTCTAAATTCTACAAATGGTTTAAAAAGATAACCTTTTTTTTTCATGACTTGTCTCATTACAAGAAAGCACACATTGTTCACACCATATTTACAACCAAAAATAAAAAAGTGTTGTGAAAGAAATTTCTATTTAGTTTTTCCAAAAGTGCAAAAACTGGAAACAGCCTCGAACACTAACAAAATAGAATAAACATTTATGTGGAACCATTTCATTAAATTTAGAGACTTGGGATCTATTGTTTCCTTCAACTGTAAAATGCAGGTTTAACACAGATATGATATGAACCACTTTTTTTCTCCCACTCTTCGGTAATCCAATAAATCAAACCAATTTTTCAAAATAACAGTGTTCTCTTTAATTTCCTTTTCTGAGTTGAGAGAAAAGGAAAGAAAGAAAGAAAGAAAGAAAGAAAGAAAGAAAGAAAGAAAGAAAGAAAGAAAGAAAGAAAGAAAGAAAGAAAGAAAGAAAGAAAGAAAGAAAGAAAGAAAGAAAGAAAGAAAGAAAGAAAGAAAAAGAAAGAAAGAAATATAGCCAATAGCAAGCACTGAGCATTGGAGTCACAATGAATGATCCCAGGCTTTAGGAGACTTAGTCCTAAAATGTCAAACACTAGGATATTGTGTGCAAATCTGATCCTGGATCATTTTTCTCTTAGAAGGGATGAGAGGGAAAGAACAACGCAAGGAGAAGATAAAAGAAGCCGAAAACATGGGGTAGCAGTCAGAACAGGAGTACTACATAACTGAAGATGGCTAACCTTAACAATGTTCTCTCCCATCTGCCCATTGATACGCAAGCAGTCTAGACAGATGGCTATTTGTGGATCACTTCTGTGATAGTCTCCATCACCTTTATCATCATCCTCTTCATCAACACGCCGTTTCTTACACATAGGGCCATTCTCTGGAGAAAAAAAAAAAAAACCATAGCGATCATTCTAAAAGTCTGTCAGTTTAACTTGTTTCAAATAAAAATAAACATTCAACTATTTCGGAGCCACTAATCCAGGGGTGCCCAAACTTTTTCTTTAAAAGGGCCAAAAACCAAATAACATTGACAGCCATGGGCCAAAGGTAAATATACCAACTAGATTAAATTAAAGTTGCCATGGGTAATTTCATAATCTCATAATATTTCAAAATAAAAATAAAAACATTCCTTTAAATGGTACTAACTAATGCAGTATAACTTTTTAAATTATAACTTTTCGCAGTAAAACAAACAATCACATTTATAAAAATTTTTTTTTTTTCAAATATTATGAACACAATCTCTGTGCACCAGCATACACATCTTATTGAAGACTTCGCTGAGAAAAAGCTCAACAGGGAGAATTTGAATTTCCTGTGAAAATGTCATTAAAAACTAATTACATGCTACATTATGTGCTTCTCTGACAATGTGGGACACAAAAGCAAAACATTTCAAACAAAGCTAAATAGATCTGCAAATGCAAAACAGCATCTGCATCTTTTTGCAGACTTGTTTTTTTTTATATATGAGACTGATAGCATTCAAAAAGATGCTCATGGGAGAATTATGAATGTGGCAATTATCCCATTATTCAGATTTGCTTACAGCTGCAAACACTTACATGTTGCCTTGGTGACAAACTATTATGAAAATGCTTCAATTTGGTTCATGCATTGAACACAAGGACTGTACATTATGAAGTATGATGTGCACAAACACTAACTAATATATATATATATATATATATATATATATATATATATATATATATATATAAATAGATGTTAAAGTTTCTTTAAAGAACCATCAGTGCAAATAAAAAATACTATACTATAAATAAATATAATACTATAATACTATGGCTGTATTAGTTAGTACTAGTTTTTTCAATCATGTTATAGAGCCCCTGTTATGGGTTTTTGAAAATGACCTTCTATGTAGTGTGTAACAGCACTAAATGAATAAAAACATCCAGCTGAGGTTTAAATCTAAAAGTGCTCCGTGTTTAAAACTATTGATTCTTTAACCAAATAGTCGACTCAGAGTGAATCAGAAATTAATCACGTTGGTTCCGGATATTTTGCCTATATGCATCGATGTCGACGCGATACATCACCAAATATGTAGTACCGGTTCTGGTAAAATGTGAAAGTGACATTCCCTTCAGACAGCGGAGTAAGGGGATCACGGGACTGATCATGACGCAAATAGATGATGATCACTGACAGATGGAGATTCGGCTGGGGAGAATAAACAGTTATAGGTAATTTTCACAACAACACCACAATATAGCCAACTGTGTTGTGTTTGTTCCTGTCATTTTTCAGATTTCTGATACAATAACCTACGCTGCAACGTGGGATTCGCCGGCCGTTCGCTATTGAAAGAGCAGCAGAGAATAATTATGTATGGGACTTTGACAAACTTTGATATAGGGACTTTGTCAGCAACTATTACAGTTCATATAGATCAGTTTCTTCTTCCTCCGGAGTATAAAAAGTAAGTGCAGTTAAAATTGTTGCCCCGTTTTGTTTAGTTTGCAAAATATGTATTTAGTTGTGTGTTGCAAGTTGTAATCGCTCCACGAGGCTTGTAATCGCTCATCTTTTATAGATCAGTGCTTGTAATGCATCTCTCAGGTTAAATAAGGGGCTATTTACATATTGCATCCAAAAGCACATTGAAAATTAGATGCATACTTCTTCCTTTACCGATTAAAATGTGTTTCTGAATTCACTATCCTCTGCTGTTTGCCTTTGCTATGGCAAACATCAGGTCTTCCTACACACGAGTCGCATGACCAATTTTCGTATTGAAGTGTGGATTAACACTGAATGCGTGTGGTTATTATTTGGGGATAGGTTTAAGAGTAGAGTAAAATGCTGCTGCTCCATTGTTTATGAGACAATGAAAGTGGTTTTTGAACTCGTTTGTGATTTGTTGTTTTGTTTAACTTGTCCATTAATGTGAACTACTCCCTATCATCTGGCTTAATCCCTGGTTTGCCAGGTGTCGCCACAGCAAAATGAACTGACAATTACTGGGAATTGAAGTTAACCATTAGAACCTTATTTTAAAGGGTTACTAAAATACCCTACACAGTGCAGGGCTGGGCAATTTTACTACAAACATGTTTTTGTGATTTTTCACCATCAAGAAACAAGGAATTGATTAAGTCATCTTGCAAAAGAAATCATCCTGGGAGACAGTTTTAACTTGCTGGCTAGTATATTACTTAATAAAAATGTATTTATTCCACCCTTGAGGACAATGCAGTGAAGCACAGCTTAGATGTATGAGGCTGACTGAAGTCAGAGAGCTGAAAAAAATCTGATTTATTTTGACAGATGTTTTAGGCAATTAATCACTGAATTTACATAAACCAGTGATACTTGACTAAATCATTCCTTTTATCTTTTAGCATAATTACCACTTTAATTTTACTTCACCCATGAAGTGTCTTAATTTAGTAGGTGCAATTACAAAAGGTGTAGATTTCCAGTGTCCAAGTTTAAAGTTGTAACTGTATAAAGTATAGTATAGATCACATGCTCAAGGTCATAGAAACAGACTTGGGTAGATTCATCAGAGCCATGAAGGCATTGCTTGATAAGGAACAAAGGTAATACCAAAAGTCTCTGAAAGAAGTTTAAATGCTGATACAGCAAAGAAACCTGGCCCATGAGGTCACGTAGAACGGATTCAAAAACAGGACGGCTGCATATGGGGAATTTAAAGTATGAGTTCCAAAAATATACTCTGAAATCATTATGCTGTTCCAAAACCATATCAAACTGACTTATCTGTAAACCGCAAAACGAGATGCAAAGCAAAATGTTCATGCTGCACATTTCCATATACTAATATTATATATACTAACATCGAGAAATTCACCTGCAAAGCTGTCTAAATGTAAAGTGTAGCAATCCATATTACTAAACAACTTTAGAATTTTGATATATTTACAGTACAAAATGCACAAAAATCTTTATTACTAAATATTCTAATGATTTTGAGAATTAAAGTGAAAATAAAATAAAAAAATTGACCAATACAATGTATTTTTGGCTATTGCATAGGTCTAGTGTTAGAACAGTTATTTTATTGTCTTGTGTTTTGTTTTAATCAGTATAATCTAAGCTACTGATGTAAATTTAAAATGTTCAAAATTAAAAAAAAATTTCCAATCTCAGAACAGAGGGTACTTTACCGTCAATTTATGATGCACTAACACAAAACCACAAATGAATTGCAATAATAGATCATATTAAGTGCATATACAAAGTAGGTCCAACTGACCTCTGCATTTGTACTCCCCCTTACAATGCATGTCTGAAGCCCTGCTCACACTGTGAGATTCCAGCCAAGACTTTATCATTTGAGACAAATTTGGGAAATCCTAGATTTCTGAAATCCTAGGCTAAAAAATCCTAGGGGTGCGTTTTCTAACTAGTTTGGAGCATCTCCATTGCTATTCAGTCTGACTATATGACAATTGAGATCTTACAGTGTGACATGGTAGTTGTGTTCGCGCACTCTGTCATGCTACAATCATTCAGGATTATTTAAAAAAATAAATAAATAAAAGCAGTGTGAGCCGGTCTTTACTCACAACAAACTAGGATTGAAGATGAGTGGTATGGGATATTCTAACCAAGCTCTCAAACTAACTAAAGTACAGAAAGATCAATTTTTAGATTTTGATTCAAGATGATCAAACCTACATTTGTTTTCAATGAATTAACTTCCACAGAAACATTTTACACCTCAAAAAATGTGAGCTAAAGCATACAGTATACATTTTAAATCCACGAAGACTTCGATAGTCACAAAGTAAGTACTTTAAGTGATTTTGGAACATTTCTATGGTGCTTTGCCACACTCAGAGTTTGACAGCTCAGGGCCATTATTTACTTTGATTGTATGGAAATTATCCTATTAACTTCTACTAAAATTCTTTACCTTTCACTCTCAACTGCCACATAATATTATCCCTTTAAAGGTGTCCCTTTAAAATGGACAAGCTATAAAGGTAACCAGTTTAGCGGGTAAATGCAGCCCTAGATCATTTAACAATGTTAGTCATTTACCATCGTTTGATTCCTTTCTTCTCCAGAATTCATCCTCTTGCTGCTGTTCCTCTAGATGGAAATGAACCAAGTTAATTAAAATGGCAGTTGTTTGTCATATCTATTTCAATTGGTCTATTTATGCTACAGGTTACTTAAAGTGCCCCTGTAATGCGTTTTAAAGGTTTCTTTTGTAGGTTTACTATAGGTTAAGTTTACATCTATCTAAAGTCAAATAAAGTATTGTCATTTTTTCATAATACATGTTGCAGTATCAAATCTTTTATCACAGTCTGAAGCTATTTGTTGACATATTGCAGGGCTTTTCTAAACCCCTCCTTTAAGATCATACTTTGATTGATTGGTTTATTACTAAATGTGATTACCTTAAACTTAATGTGATTCCGGAAGCTTCCTCAGCACTGTTTACATGCATGCAGAAAGTATTCAATATTCAAGGTGATTCACTTTTTCCACATTTTTTTTTTGTTACAGCCTTATCCCAAAATGGATTAACTTAATTTATTTCCTCAACATTCTACACACAATACTCCATAATGACAATGTGACAAAAGATTTTTTGAAATGGTTACAAATTTATTAAAAATAAAAAACCTGAAAAATGACATGTACATATGTATTAACAGCCATTGCTCAATATTTTGTTGATGCACCTTTGGCAGCAATTACAGCCGCAAGTCTTTGCCCAATCCTCTTTGCAATACATCTCAAGCTCTATCAGGTTGGATTTTCCTGTTGTAAGATAAACCATCGCCCCAGTCTGAGGTCAAGAGCACTCTGAAGCAGGTTTTCATTCAGAATGTGTGTGTACATTGCTGCATTCAACTTTCCCCCTGTCCTGACTATTCCTCCAGTTCCTGCTGCTGAAAAACATCCCCACAGCATGATGCTGCCACCACCATGCTTTATTGTTAGAATTCAATTCAATTCAATTCAGCTTTATTTGTATAGCGCTTTTACAATGTAGATTGTGTCAAAGCAGCTTCACATAAATGGTCATAGTAACTGGAACAGTGTGGTTCAGTAACTGGAACAGTGTGGTTCAGGTTTTAGTGTTTAAGTTCAGTTCAGTTCAGTTTAGCTCAGTTCAGTGTGATTTAATCATTACTGAGAGTTCAAACACTGAAGAGCCAACTCATCGATGCATAGCTCTACCAATCCTGAACTATGCGAGGCAGTGGCGACAGCGGAGAGGGAAAAAAAAAGAATGGTAATAGCCTGGTGTTGAGCAGTGCCTGGTTTTCTCCAAACGTAACTCCTGGCATTCACTCCAAAGAGTTAAGAGACCAGAGAATTTAATTTGGTCTGAAAGTCATTCAGATGCCTTTTGGCAAATTCCAGGCGAGGAGTGGCCACTCTACCATACAGGCCTGACTGGTAGATATCTGCACAGATGGTTGTCTTTCAGTACACTTCTCCTCTCTCCACAGAAGAACACTGGAGCTCAGACACAGTGACCATCAGGTTATTGATCACCTCTCTGACTAAGGCCCTTTTCTCCCAATTACTTAGCTTAGATGGCCGGCCAGCTCTAGGAAGAGTCCTGGTGGTTCCAAACATCTTCCACTTACGAATGATGGAGGCCACTGTGCTCACTGGAACATTCAGAGCAGCAGAATTTTTTCTGTAACCTTCCCCAGCCTTGTGCCTTAAGACAATCCTGTCTCAGAGGTCTTACAGTCAATTATTTTGCCTTCATGCTTGGTTTGTGCTTTAACATGCACTGTCAACCCTGGGACCTTATATAAACAGGTATATGCCTTTTCAAATCATGGTCCAAATAAACTGAACTTACCACAGGTAAACTCCAATTAAGCTGCTGAAACATCTCAAGAATGACAAGCGGAAACAGAATATATTTTCAATTTAGAGGTTCACTGCAAAGGCTTTGAATACTTATGTGCATGTGATTTTTCAGGTTTTTTAGTCCTAATAAATTTACAACAATTAAAAAAAAACTTTTTTCACATTGTCATTATGGGGTACTGCATTTAAAATTGAGGAAATAAATTAATTTAATCAATTTCAGAATAACGCTGTAACATTAAAAAATGTGGGAAAAGTGAAGAGCTCTAAATATTTTCCGGATGCACTGAGATGATGTTTTTTTAGCAGGCAGCCAGTGAATAGCATAAGCTGGTATTATGCACATTTGTTACAAACCAATGTAGTTACAAGCAGGAGCTAAAACTGGAATACTGACAACTCCTTTCAGCCAATTCTGAATCATCTCTATCTTTTGAGACGATAATCAGTTATTATTTTGCAGACCTTTTGTGTTCACAAACAGCTACATTAGACACTAAATACAATATAACATCTGAATAAGCACACAAGGGCACTTTCAAATGGGAAAAATAAAACGTTAATTAAAATACATACTTTCTCTGAGACCAGGCACGAGCTTAAATATCACTTCCTCTAAAGTGTTGTCCAACCTTCAGAGGAAAGAAATAAACTAATGTGAGCTACCATAACACATGATCAAAGCATTGCTAATATATCTGTCACATCTGTTAGCAAGTTGAGGCTAATGCTGCTATAGCTCTTGTTATCATGTTATGGTTGAGTCCTGTGTTAGGGTGGAGATGCATCACTGGTGTGGAGAGGCAATCCTGCAGAAGGTCAGTCCTAAAGCTGACACTGGCTCCAGAAAACTGTCCGGCTGTTGCCCTGCCTGGAATGCTTCCCAACCAGGATCAAATTTACTGGCTCTTTATTACCCAACGCTTCTTAAAACCAGGAAACTGTGGTTATAAGAATCTCTTAGATCTATTAGGGGAAACTATTAACTTGTATTCTAGATTTCTTTCCAATTATGTAGATTAACCAGAATTAATCCAATCATGGTTTAAACTGTGGTGTGCTCTACTGCTGTACTGAATCAGATCCCAAACCATGTGAAGCAGATTGGTTGAAGGTTTAGCTCAGTAGTAAGATGTTATATGAGTGTGGTTTACCTTAACATCTCCAAGGGATTTGTTTCATGAACCTGGATACCACATTTTGGGCAATCGTTGCTGTCCTCGAAATGCTGGACAATACAGCTTTTACAAACTGTTCAGAAGCAAGAACAGAGAAAAAGAAAAAAATCAAATAACAGCAGTGCTTCCCAGAAACAGCAAACTGTAAAAATTTGATGATTATTATTTTACTGTAAAAGAATGTACAACTGCTACAGTGAAAATATTATTTAGTCTTTTTTAGTATGATTAAAAACCTGTAATATATCTAACTGAGTATTTCATTGAATTTACAATTGATGATAGTATAGAAAAAAAATAAAATAAAAAAAAGTCACTTTATAATTTACAGTGAGACAAATAACATTATTAGAATTTTATGGGTTTTCATTGAAACATTATTTTTGTTTGTTTTTTGTCAGTACATTAGGGCTTATTGTAACAAATTTTTGTTGTCTAATTAATGTTGCATTAACTAAACAATATCATATGATTATATTTTACATAAGTGCAAATTACACCATCAATCTCATACACACCAAATCATCAGGCACAACACTGACAACCAACTTAATAACCTGTAGAACCTAACTTGGCTCCCAAAACAGCAGCCACAAAGCCAGGAATTGATTGACAATAGGTCTTTTGTGATATTTGGTACCATAATGTAAACATCAGGAGCTCCAGTTTCCATACAGCACTGTAAAATGTTTTACTGGGTTAAACTTACAAACTCAAGTTCACCATCTGCCCTGAAAATGCGAGTCAACTCAATCTCAAAGAGATTCTTTGTTTCAACTTAAGATGTTGAGTTTCACAATATTTAACTAAAACTCAGCATCTTAAGTTGAAACAAACAATCTCCCTAAATTAATGTAACTTACATTTTCAAGAGAGCTGGTGAACTTGAGTTAAGTTTAAGCAATGTGAGTTTCTTAAAAAAATATATGCATAATAACTTGCAAATAGGGTAAGCAAAATTACTTTGCTTACCTTATTGGTAGATTAATTAGCTTGTTTTAAACACTCATTGCACTGCACTGCAAAACGAGACAATTATTATTATTTTTTTTTTGTTTAGAGCAGGGGTGCCCAAGCATTTTCGTATGAAGGGCCGTACGCCAAATATCATTGATAGCTGTGGGGCAAAGATAAATAAAGTAAACTATTTTAAAATAAAGATGCCATATGTAGATGCCTAATTCCTTTCATAATATTAAAAAAAAATAAATAGAAAACATTAAGTTGAATCGTATTAACTACTGCAGTACAACTTTTTATAATTATAATTCATTGCAATAAAAACAAACAATCACATTTATAACACAGTGGAGTTTAACGCTAAATACACTAGTCAAGCAGAAGCTGCCTTGGCCTTAATACGCTCACCAAAGTCCAAATGTCCAAATGCTTCTAAATCTGATTATTTTACACCATTTAAATTGAAACATTTAATTTCAGAAAACTTTTTAGCTTAACAATAAAACAAACAAATAAAAGATTACATTAAATTTGAAATGGCAATCTCTGAACCATACTCAATTGGGATGGCAGGCCAAAGGTTAGCTCGGGCCAACTTTGGCCCGTAGACCCTAGTTTGGGCATCTCTAGTCTTCAGAATGCTGCTTGATTTAGGAATGTTCCGATGTTTAGACTATTTTAGATATTTGCAATGGTGATTTGCAATGGTGCTGATGCAGTGTGAACCTTCTTTTCCAAGTTAAACCATGAATGCACACTTAGCCACATTTCTGGTGAATTTGGAGTCTGAAGCATTAACAGAAATTGCTCTGCATGTTAATTGAAACATTCTTGTTGTCATAAATGGGTTCACACATAGGGCCCTATCATACACCAAGATGTAGAGCAATACGCAAATATCTTTACATAGGAAAAAGATATAATATCTTGTATATATTGACGTAAAGTAAGTTCACTTTCGCTTTTGCTCTCGTGAATAGGGTAACCTTACTGAACAGTCATCAATTAGCCTATAAATAATTAATTTTGCTTCAAATTATGTTTCAAAACTATTTCTAAATTCAGTTCTAATTTCCAGCAAACGAATAAATGAACAATAAAAACAAAGTGTGGTCAAAATACTGAGTTATTTCCAAATACACCTGCCATGCCCCATATGGTCTAAAATTTGACAGGTGGACAAATCTAAGCTTGTTTTGAAAAAAAAAATATAAATATGGATATAATAAATAATACTGCTATTAATTATAATATAATACAAAAGCAAATTGAATGAACTGAAAAAGCCTCCCGAGATGAAGAAAGTAAGGCAGTGGTTTATAAATCTTTATGTAGGCTAGAAATTAATATGTTTTGTAATATGTTTATCATTTATACTTATATCCTGTATATATCCTTATATATATATATATATATATATATATATATATATATATATATATATTAAAATATAAATATAAATGATTAAAATGATCAAAATGTGCTTATGGCGCAACACAGCTGGCTCTCAAAGGGAATGGGAGATGAGACTCTGATTGGTTTATTCTCAAAACACACCTAAAACTCATTAAGAAAATAAACTCAACCCTTTTAGACCATGCGCCATGGCGCAAATCGGATTTTCCCGTCCTTAAATTAGCAAAAATGCGTTCTTATGCCCTGAATACGTTTGCGCCCTGCGCATGGACCATCAAAATAGAGTCCTTAGTGTGCAACAGTATTCAGACACCAGTTGTCAGTGATTGTGCTATTGGAATAACAGGGCTTACAAACATCAGTGGTCCAATGTTGAAGTTGTTGAGCCCATTTTATACTTTTTTCATGCATCATTGATGGCTAAGTTACTATTACTATGCATTACTATCAGGAACTGAATACATGCAAATTGCTAAAGCTTGTTTGAAATAACCAGTAGCTTTTACTAAACTTGCCTGCAGCATTTGATATGGTAAATTAGGGCTGCACGACTGATACCTCAGTGTGCGCATCCTCAATAGTCATATCACAAGACATGCAATGTTAAGTGTGAATTATTGACTAGGAGCTACAAAACATGATTTATAGAGTCACTGCTAAGTTTAACTATATCAGAGTTAAGGTTTATCATGCATTTTAAGGCCTGTGACTGAGCATTTCAAGAGAGTTTAAAACATTTGTGCACAAAAAGGATTATTTGAGGTGTAACAAAATGTAATTATATTTGTTTATACAGAATTTATACAATTTGTGCAAACATCTTTTCTTGTTTCTAGTCTAAATATCCTCTTTTCAAAGTGAAAACAAGTAAGAAGAATAATGTTAGACTGGCCAGAAAACTCTCACAGAGGTTCCTCAAGGTTCAGTTTTCCTATTATCAATTTCTACCATTTCGCTGGGTCCCATTGTTCTAAAACATAGCTTTTAAAACTATTGCTATGCAAACAAGACACAGCTCTTTCTCTCATTTTATCCGGATAATCCCACAGTAACTACATAAATCTACATTTTTCTGAAAGACATTCCAGCATGGATAAAAGACCATCACCTGCAGATAAATCTGGCTAAAACAGAACTTCTGTTCTTTGTACATCATATCTTCATGATCAAGCTGGAGTCAGCTTTTGTCCCTTCCAATTCAGTGAGGAATCTTGGGGTGACCTAGTACCTTATGGCCCATTTTTACTGAGTGGTACGGTATGGTATTTTGTGGTTCATTTCGGTATGGTTTTATGGCCAGCGAACTGTAATACCACTTTTTGGGTACTTTTTGCAAAGGGTACCTAGCATGAAAAAAGTGTACAAAAAGGCAGAGCTAGACATGCAGCTGAATGCTATTGGTTTACAGAGAAGCACCACTCGTGCATACACAAGCACGTGAATGAACACAAAAAAAACGCCATTTTTAAATAGACAGTCGAGACATTGCATCGTAATACTATACACAGTTGAAACCAGATGTTTACATACACTGTATAAAAAGGCACGTAACCATTTAAAAAAAAAAGCCAGATGTTAATGTGACTAAACTTTTTCTCTTTTTGGTAAGTTTTGAGAAATTGTTATAACTTTTCTTGAAAGTCAAGTTTACATACAATAATATTATAATGCCTCTGAAAAAGCTCAGATGATGGTGTCAAGGTTTTGGAAGTTTCTGATTGGCTAATTGACAACATTTGAGTTAATTGAAGTAACAAATGTAGAATAGTATTTAAGGAAAACCTCGAACACACTGCTTCCTTGTGTGACAACATGGGAAAATTAACAAGCCAGAATCAACAACAAAAAAAAACAGATTACAATTTGCTAAATTACACTGGGAAAAAGAATAATTTTTAGAGACAACTCCTCTGGTCTAATGGAACTAAGATTGAACTGTTTGGCCATAATGACCAGTGTTACATTTGGAGGACTAAGGGGAAAGCTTTCAAGCCTATAGGAACCCCATCCCAACCGTAAAGTATGGGGCGGCAGCATCATGTTGTGGAGCTATTTTGCTGCAGGAGGGACTGATCTACTTCACAGCATAGATGGCATCATGAAGAAAAAACATTATGTAAAACTACTGAAGCAACATCTCAAGACATCAGCCAGGAATTAAAACTTGGCAGACAAATGAGTCTTTCAAACAGCCCATGACCCTAAGCATACTGCCAAGTTAGTTAAAATGTGATTTGACAACAGAGTGAATGTTTTAGAGTGGCCATCACAAAGCCCTGATATCAATCCTATAGAAAATTTGTGGGCAGAGTTGAAAAAGCTTGTGATAGCAAGACAGCCAACAAATCTGACTCAGTTACACCAATTCTGTCAGAAGAAATTTGCTAAAATTCCTTCAAACTATTGTGAGAAGCTTGTGGAAGGATACCCAAAACATTTGACCAAAGTTATGCAGTTTAAATGCAAAGCTAAAAAATACCAAGGAAATGTATGTAAACTTTGGCTGTCTAGAAATTAATAAACAATTCTCTAGTGTATATATATATATATATATATATATACATATACACACACACATAGTATATAGTATACTCTAGTATATAGTATATATAAATAGTATATATAAATAGTTGAAACCAGAAGTTTACATGCACTCTAAAAAAAGGAACATAACCAATTTAAAAAAAATAGTATGTGTATGTATATATATATATATATATATATATATATACTATTTTTTTTTAATTGGTTATGTTCCTTTTTTTAGAGTGCATGTAAACTTCTGGTTTCAACTGTACATATAATAACGAGCCAAGGTCAACCCGAGCTCAAACAAACTATGGCGTTGTCTTAATAAACTGCCACAAAAGCAAAGAAGAACAAAATCTGCTGTGTTCCGTTTTTGTTTTACGAAGCTGTCTAAAACTTAAAGTGTGAGCAGTTTTACTTACTCCAGTGAGCCCGCGTGCGCATCTATATTTGAAATAAACTTTAAGCTGATAATAACAACGTGCATGTGATTATTAAAGTGATTCTGACATCCGATCCTTTCTGAACCCAAACAATGGGTATACCATGTAATTGGTAACAAATCGGAGACTGTAAGAGTCTGTATGTTTTCATAAATGTTGCATTTATTTACTTATTTTATGGAACAAAAATAAAATAAAAAATAATATTTCGCAGACGTTACAATAGGCTATTTTCGCACTGTCATGGATCTGCAGTGATAATCAAATTATGTTCATAGAAAAGTTAGTAGCGAACTAACTAAATACACAAGTATTTATGCATATAAATCATCTGTTTTGTGAGAAGTGCTTCTCCTATGAATGTGAAGGAACCATACAGCTTTACTTTAAGCAAGATTTCCTATAGCAAGAATGACGTCGCCTCAACCTTTCTGTTGTACAGCACACCCACCATTGGTACCCTTTTGGCAGTGGAAACGCAAGCCTGATAAAGGTGACCCGTACCGTAATGTACCAGTCAGTGGAAACGGGCCATTAGATTAGTAAGGTACTACTACAGTGTAGTACTACTACAGTCCAAAGATGTCCTTTTACGTTTACAACCTTAATATTTTAATAAGTGTACCTGCTTAACCATCATTTAAAACTATTGAAAACATATTCATTCATATTCATAATTTCATCTCACAATCTATAAAATCAATTTTACATTTCACAGTAAAATTGCTTATATAAATTGCAGAATAACCATATACTGCAATTAAACCCAGGTCTACAAATGAATATTTAGATAAAGCCTTAACTTGGCCAGAGAAAAGCCACCATCATATTTCACCAGCAAAACGACAGCAGTGAACATTACCTTATTGCTTTGTGAATCTACAGTCACAAACATTATTAAATAGCATTCATGGGTGAATGGGGGAGACACTACCCACACACTTAACTGACACTGATGCAGGACACAATCAGGTCATCACTGTGTGGAATAGTCAGTGGGGGAAAAGTGCAAAAAATAGTGCCTAGTCCTCTAAAACAAATGATTTGTTACTACATGGAATTTTTCTTATTAACAAAACATGAAGAATATATTTTATTTATTTACTATATAAAACTACATAAATAACCTACTAATTTATAGATATACATAACTAATTAATGATTCTTATATTACACAACCAGGTTTAAATATTTCTAATATTCTCCAATCTTAACTATGTTTGAAATGCTGCCACATCTTATTATTTGTATTAAGTTTAACATCACTTCTGTTTTTCACCTGCGGTCTGACACAATCAGAACAGACTGTTTTTGCTTAGAGCCCATTGAAAACCACTGATTTAAATCACCATGAAACTTTCAGAGTCAGCTAATACTCACAGGTGTGCAGGCACTCTGTCACGGTGGTGGGCTTGATCAGGTACCCTTTACAGACAAAACAGGTGATGAAATGGTTGAAGTCCCTCACCAGGTGTTTCCTATGTGATGTCATTGTCAAGTTCCCGAAGTGGGGATGAAGGGAGAACAGATGGTTTAAGGATGAAGTGGAATGCAGATTCAGACACTCTATGGCTCAACTGCAGCGTTTTGCTGAAGGGCCCCTGGCCTCTCGTCCTTCATGACATCATGGGTAATTAAACGTCTTTAAGAGAGACCTGTGGATGTGAATTCAACAGTAATTCTTTAAACAAAAATATGATGCGTTAAGTTTATTTATAAACAAATTTTGAGATGATCACGTGCTTTTGATTGTTCACAGCGGTTCCAACTTTAGCTAAAGACTGATTATCCTATCAGATGATCTCTACCTCATGATTTTCTCATCTCAATATCTTCCTCTTGAAGAAACCCCCCCCACCCAATTCTACTTTCCCTACTTTCAAACAGGTGTCACGTTGGCCAGTAATTGGCGCTGTTGTCTCACAGCAAGAATGCCCCTGGTTTAATTCCTTTCCAAACCAGGCGGCGTTTCTTTGTGGAGTTTTGCTTGTTCTCCCCGTGGTCGAGTGGGTTTTCCCCGGGTCCTCGGGTTTCCTCCCACAGTTCAAAATAAGCACCCTAAACAATTAATACAAAATATTTTAGCCAAACTTTGAGTACACTTTTTCAGCATCTATATCTGACACTTAGCTACAATAAGCAGGAGGGGGAGTCATCGAGATCTACCTGAGCTCAAACTCCCCTCGACTTGCAATGAAGGGGCGCCCAGGGCTCGAGGATTTTATAAGCTCAGGGCTCTCTCCTGGGACAGCACGCCAAACTAGCTTTATTATCAATCATCAGCTGAGTGTGAACTCTTGAAAAATTATGTAGATATTTTTTTTACTTCTTTAACATACTTTTCTGTGTAAACTTAAAAAGTACATACTCTGAGTAGCTACTTTCTTTTAAATGCATACTTATTTTGCAACCATTAAACAACATAACAACATGTTCTATAAACAACAGTGTGCTAGGTGGTCTCTGGAAATGCTTACAGAAAAAGCTAATAAGTAAATAAACAAAAATGTTTTAATTTGTATAAGAAGTTAAAAAAAGTACTTTTATGATTTTATAGATAGTAAATACATAAATAGACAACGCGCATTATACAAAAACATACAAAAAAAAACAGCATTACTGAATATAATAACTATTCTTAGTTGTTCTAGTCAATGCCTTTTAAACATTTGTCAAACTGTTGTCTAAGTAAAAATGCTCTCTAACATGGTTTCAAAATATACATTCTATTAAAATGTATATTTACAGCCAAGTTACAAATTTGTTTCTTATCCCCTTTTAATAAATATAAGTGGGTAAGTCTTGAGTGGCCAATTCTACATCTTGTAATTACAACCTGGTCCTGTCTATTTTTAAAATACTAGTTTTTTTATTTTTTATTTACTAATTCACTTTATGCATTTTGTAGTCTTTTGAATATTGTAAATTCGGATTCACAGTTCATTTCACAAATTATGCAGTGAACCATGCAATTTTTAAAGCAGCCTAGCACCGCATTCCTAATGAGACAAATATGAGGACAATAATGGTCACCATACTGAAGGGTCATTCCAAATCAATGTGTTCAAATCTGTCCACTGTTAAGAACCCATTAAAAGGGAGTTTGATTATTATCATTTGCATGCATTTAATTACATCAGTTTTGATGCTGCACTGCCATTCACAAATCATCTGCTGGGGCCGCATGTGAACACAATCTTACCAAAAGTAGTAAATGATCCAGTTATTCTTATACATTCATTTTTTCATCTAATATGGGGCACTATGTGATTATTTTGTTTATTCTCACTCTTATTCTGGCCAAAAGTAAACTGCACAGTCATTCAGTCTGTTTGTTCTTTCTTCTATTTAGACATTTATTTTTTTACTCATTAACTGCATGTAGGCTTGCTGATTGTACAGGCTAGAATAGGCTACACCAGGGGTGTCCAAACACGTTCCTGGTCACCGCTGTCCTGCTGAGCTTAGCTCCGACTTGTTTCAACACACCTGCCAGGAAGTTTCTAACGTTGTATCTAGTTATTTCGGGTAAGTTGGTTCTAATTTTGGATGTATTAGGGTTCAGGTGTGTTTGATTTGAGTTGGAGCTAAACTCTCTAGGACACCGGCCCTCCAGGACCGAATTTGGACACCCTTGGGCTACACCATCAGTGTGAAGTAGACTATGCTGCTATTTACTTTAACTAGTTTGCTAAATTGTATAGATGATTTATTCTTTTCTGTTTGTTTTAAGACGTTAAATAATAATAATACGTTATTTATTTATTAGAAATATTTATTTAGTACAAATTTGATGATGAAAATGCATGACTTGCATTTGTTTGAATGAACCCACAGGTGCATCATGACACATGCGCGTTAAGCCCCGCCCACGAAATTCAAAACGAAACCACAGGGACAAAAGTGCAAAATTCATTCAAACATCTAAATACTTTTATCATTTGGAAAAAAAAACATTAAATTACAAAGCATATCTTTAATTATGTCATACAATAACCAAAAAACTCGAGCCTGTGGATTAGTATTGCAGTTTCCCGACTCTTATCGCATGTTGATCATCTCAAATGAGAACTGTTGACAAACAGATACGGGTTTCTGTTATATGATCCACAGTAAATGCTAACTGATCTTCATTATCTACGTCGCACATCCAAAGTAAGTGTTTTAAAGTCTACTGTCAAAACTACTCGGTTAATGCTCACTCGGCCATCGTCAGTGTCATTCTGTGCGTCATCTTCCTGTAAAATGCTGTGTTGCGTTTCCCTCGACAGCGAATAACATGCAGTCGCACTCGTTTTAACTTGCTGCCATTTGCACAAGTGTCACTTTTCGTAAACGAGAGATGGATGATTTATCGCTCACCGGTGCCCACTAAAGAACCAGCTGTACCATGACAAACTACTATCCAACAGAGACACAGACATGCTGACGAACTTGATATATGACACGAGACTGCATTCCCATCCCACCCGAAAGTTTACGATGAGCGTGAAAACGACACGCAGCTGCAGTCAGACAGACAACCGCCATCCCTTACCTTCCACACATCATGGGTCCGTGTTGATGTCGCGCATTGATTTTTTTTACAAACAGGCTTGAGCGAATTTGGGCTGTTAAAAGGGATGTAGCGGCACAGAATACGGAACTGCTTTCATTTGAGATGATATGGGGAAGGGGGCGGAGGACTTTCCAGTTCTTGTTTACGCATTGCTGTTTTATTCATTCCATGGCAGATTGTCTCTGATTGGACACAAACTAGGGCGCAGCCTTCAATTACAAAGTAGTCCAGTAACAGTTTAGAACCAGTTTATTAATGAAAACTCAAACTTGGAAGGCCTGTCAAACAGGAGGATTTGTTAATATGGCCTTATTGCAGGTACCTGCTAATAGGCTGTTATAGGACTTGTCCGATCATGTCAGTTTGCATTAAAAACATGAGAGTGGTGTGATGATATTACTTTCCTAAATATCTTAAATAAATATCAGATTTTTTAAAAACAGCAACTTTTTTTTACTGCTAATTATTGTAATAAATTATTTTTGTTGCATGTGAAAGCAACATTTCTATACAGCCTATATTTTCCACAAAACACTAAGCTCTATTTTTTCTGAACCAAATTCTCAATGAAAAAAAATATTCTGAATAATTCTTAATGCAAAACCCATTGAACTAGTTCAGGCTGAAAGCATTAATACTCATTAAAACACATCTTTTCACCAATGCATTTGTGTTGCAAAATGGTAACCAAAAGCAGCAAATGTTTAATACAACTAAATCAGTTTTCATCATTAACTAATGTGATCGATCAAGCTGTGAAAAATATGAAACTATTCTTTAACATGAGCTAAAATATGCAAATGTTTTACAGGTACAAAATGGAGACAAGGGGTCTCAAACTCAATTTACCTGGGTTCCGCTGGAGTCTGGGTGAGGTTGGGCCGCATAAGGTTTTCCATAAGAAATTAGTTGCATAATTAATTATTAATTTCTAGGCGACGCAGTGGCACAGTAGGTAATGCTGTCGCCTCACAGCAAAAAGGTCGCTGGTTCGAGCCTGGGTCAGTTGGCGTTTCTGGGTGGTGTTTCCATGTTCTTCCTGCATTCGCATAGGTTTCCTCCGGGTGCTGGGTAGGCTAAATTCTCCATGAGTGTGTATGGTTTTTTCCCAGAGATGGGTTGCAGCTGGAAGGGCATTTGCTGCATAAAAACATATGCTGGATAAGTTAGCGGTTCATTCCGCTGTGGCGACCCCAGATAAATAAAGGGACTAAGCCGAAAAAAAAAAAAAATGAACGAATGAATGTACCTGTACCGCATGTCTTTAGACTGTGGGGGAAACCGGAGCACCCGGAGGAAACCCTTGCAAATGCAGGGAGAACATGCAAACTCAACACAGAAATTAATATTTATATCCACATGGAATTAATATTTTTTTGAATTGTGGTTTTGTAATAACAAGCAAAAAACGTGATCACGTTTTTACATGTATATACAAAACCATTTCACATTTCAAGGAAAAATGCAAAGTCTAATCCTTTACAATCTCCCTTAAGTGATTCCAAACTTTTACACATTTTTTTTCTGTTTATTTATATATTTAAAAAATAATAGTACTGTGGAAGTCAATGGCTACCAGTTTGCAGCATTCATTAAAATATCTTTCTTGCTCAAGAGAAAGAAAAAAAAACTGAAACGAGGTAAAAAAAAATTTGGAACAAGGTAAAAACAAGGTTTTTGAAAAGGTAAGTATATCATTAGGTTTTGTTTGATCATCTGTTAAGGTGATGAAAACCCGCCTTGGATATCTCTGATGTATATAAAAATATGTCAGCACAAGGTTCACATTACATATTCTGTATTAATTTCACTTACAGTGAACATTGTGGTGACAAGTTCAACACACGTGGCTCTTTGTAGATAAATCAGTCTGAGATTGACAACTCAGAACATTGAGTACTGTTTAGAAGAACACTGCAAAATGATTGTAAAAGAGGTTCATTTTTATGGACATGCAAACAAAAATAATGACTAAAATATTTTCAAAAGACAAAAAATATATATAATAAATGACATCAGTTCACAGTTTATGAAGCTATGCTTACAATTTTCTTATTCAGACACAGATAATTTCACGTGGCCTCTTTCCTTAAGTTAAAAAAAAACGGTTTACAGCATTGCCCTGACTGTCAGACCTGTGGTCATTAAAGTGCAGGTATAGAGGCCACATGGTCCAGAAATGGTTGATGGGTATTTAGGCAATGTGTTGAGTTACATATCATCTTTTACAAGCATTTTCGTAACACTCTGAGGACAGATAAAAAGACAAGATGCGAGCTTCACTTTACATATCAGATGTCCTTCTGACCTATGGCCTAAATGCATCAGAAAAAAATTACAAAAAAAGTAATGCTCACTAATTGGCTAACTTTAGCACATGTATACAGAAAACAGTTAATATCAATGTATTTTGTTAAGCTAGTTTATAGTTTCCAAAATGGATTTTTTTAGACTCATTTTGAAAAAGTCTTATTTTATGTCCTTTCACATTAATAACCATGGCGAGGTAATGAAGTTATGCATTGTGAACTGAGACTGCATTACTTCAGTTTAAAAGTAACATTTGCAGTCATTAAGCACATAAGCTCATGTGATATTATTCATTAAATGATTAAAACCATTTTTTTTACATAATTCACATTTTTAATGTGATGTTTGCATGGTTTGAAAGTCAAATCATGTAAAGTATTCATTATATTTCAGCGATATTATTATTTTTTGTAACTTTAAAGTCAATGTTTTTTTAAGTAAGGTTAATACTTTATATTGTATTTGTTAATTTATTTAATAATATTTGAACTATTAAGAGGAATACTACTATTATGAGAAAATAGTTTAAATACAGTTTTATTTAATTAATGCATAAAATTTAAATACACAAAGTGAATAGATGTAAATACTTGGATTGGAGACCCTATTCAATGTCAAAGACCAATGTTTAAAGTAAAGTTAAAGGGAGCTAAATGTGAGGGTTTTTTTTTTAAGTGAACAGCTTTTGATAAAATAAAAAATTGAACTTCACTGTCCCTTATGCAAACATATTTAAATATGTAAGATGAGACGCTTTCTTAACTGCAGTTTTTTTTACCAAAATTGTCATTTTGTTGTGATTATTTTGTTATTAAAGTCCAGAAATGACTGAGACTAGTATTTTAGTATGTCATTGTACTTCCATCTAAAAGTGAATATTTAGTAGGGCGTGTGGCTTTCCTTTTACATATCATTCTCTAATAGCAAATTAACGGTAAGAGGGGCGTGGTTAAAATGACTGTGGCTGAAGCTGTCAAACATTTACTAATGCATTATTAACATTCAAGTCCATGCTTGTTAACATTAGCTAATGCACCATGAGTTAACATGAACTAACAATGAACTACTGTATTTTCATTAACAAACCTTAACTAACATGAACAAATACAGTAGTAAATGTATTGTTCATTGTTTGTTCATCTTAGTAAATGCATTAATTACCATTAACTAATAAACCTTATTGTAAAGTGTGACCAGTTTAGGGCTGGATGCTAGATTCTGACTGGCTGATGAACATTTTAAAGTTTGCAATTGTTTTTTTTTTTTTTTTTTTTTTTTGTAATCTGATGCTGTTCCTAGAGCAGGGGTGTGCAAAAGGATCAAAAAGCAAACTTGATTGAGGGTTGTGGATCAAATATATATAGCAAACCATATATATTAAATTTGCCATGGGTAATTTCCTAATTGATTCAGTAATATTTAAAAATAACTAGAAAATATTGCTTTAAAGCATATTACCTATAATGCATTTAACATTTAATAATAAACTTGCAGTATAACCATAAAAACATAAACAATCCCATTCATAGCTCAATGGCGTTTACCTTGATTTGCTCACAGATATCTTACATTTGGATAATCATTTACAACATTTAATTGAATCATTTAATTTCAGTTTGTATAGCTTAGCAATAAAGCAAAGAAACTAAAGGTTACGTAAAAGTCGAAATGACAATCTCTGTTAAAGGCATTCATCCTAACCATCTCTTTTCAGATAGCAGGCCAAATCAACGTTTACCACAGACCCTATACCTTGGGCATCTCTGTCCTAGAGAAATGGAATGTTAAATAAGAAAACAGTGGGCGTGGTCTTTTTTTCTACTGCAAGCTGATTTGAAATAGCTAAGAAGGCATTATTTCAGAAAGATCAGGAAAAGGGTTTCGGGAGAGTTACTGCATAAGAGACATCACCTTGTCCTCAACATTTCTGTTTTATGTCATAGCACAGTCAAAACTTACAGTTAGAGGAGGCATGATTATGTTAAACACGATCAATACCTCAGACAGAATTAAACTGGAAACAAACAGGAAGTGCTTTTTTTATTGAAGATTTGAAGAGCACGCAATTTTATTTATTTATTGCTTAATGACAGGCACAGATTAATTGTTCACCACAAAACTAATATGAACAAAATCAATATGTAAGTTTTGAATTCATGTCTACTTTAAGATGTGCAGTTATTTTCAGCAACATACAGTACACAGTTCCAGGCATTTGACCACATTACAGTTCCATATTATTATATCTTGAACGATTTCCGTTATTTTACATCCAACAACTGTTAAAAACTATTTAAACAAAACAGAACACGTCCAATCAGATGTGTAGGAAACCAGTACTATACACACAGGAGCTTTTTGAGTCTGACAAATGTCTTGAATGACAACATCTGACATGTGGTTTTTATACCTTTGATAATCTTTTAGTATAAACAGAATAAATTGACTCCAATAAACATGCATGTACTGTATCAGCTCTTTTATTTAAATGTGACTCCTGACAGGATGGTGCAGGTTTCTTATTATACTGATTTAAAAAAATTGGATATTAAAAAGTGCGATTTTAGTTAACTTTGATTGCCTACAAAAATACTGTAAAATATTTTTTTGGACTCAATAGAATGCATCTACAGACTACACTAAATAAAACACTTTGAATACTTGATGAAGCATGAGTGACATTATGTTTCATAGGTCATTTGCTCTCCATTTTGAAACCACATCCTCACCCTGTCAAAGAAGTTCTCCTCGTGTGAGATATGTTGATGTATGTGCCTGTGCTGAAGTCCGTGGCCTCTTGTACTTTTTTGTTTACATAAGCAGCATATCTGAATTTCACCTATCGTCTTAACTTTTTAGTTTTAGTTCATTCTTAAGTTTAAATAAATAAATATATATCACAAGAGTCCTTAGACTTGTCTGATATTTTTTCCCTTCAGTGCTGATATTCTAAATATTAACAATCTTGTTAAAAGATGCCACATGCGGCCACCCACAGTGCTTAAGAAAGCTTTAAAAACTGCATTCAATTAGACACGATAGAAGTCCAACCAATATTGATTTTAATGGCTGAATTCTTCACATCCTGACTGTGTAATTTTGCAGGTTTATACGCCCAGGACATGTGGACGGCTAGTAAAATGGCAGCTGTCATGCAAGACAACCGCTCATGTGACTCATTACTCCAAGTGATTCATGGGTGGTTCAATTAAAAATAGTCACAGGGTGCGACAATTTAACCTGCGCTCGTAACAGAAGTAATGCTAGTGATGAAACCCAAGAGGAAAATAGCCTCGTAAACTAAGACAACTGCCCTAATATATGAGACAGTCAAAGCTGATTATGATGTTGTACATCTCCATATAACTTCATAAACATGTCCTGTCACCTTTGTGTGTGAAATGGAGCTGTGTTCTGTGTCTTTAGATCTGCGCTCAGCTGTAAGTCATCCTTGGATGTAGAAGGGGCTCTGTAGCGGCACTTCTAGTTCCTTTCAGGTTTCAGTTCCATTCCTTTTAATGTCTCCCAAAGCCATTTTTTTAAACCTTCAGCCCCCTCCAAAATTACATCACAGTGACGTGGAACACTTCAGATGTAGGAGTCCAATGAAAAACACAAGCTTGATCTTCAACTGTCACCACTACATATATAAGTGATGCTCCATCAGAAGCATTCATTTTAACACAAAGAGTTTTCAAGAAAAATCATGGGAATCCTGCAGGTCGAAGAGCTGGTAGGCACCTTTCAATGTTATGGATTTATTGATTCAGTTCATTTTTATGATATCAGTTGATTTGTACTAGTTTTTTTTTTTTAATGCTTATTGCTTGAGACTTTACTTTTTATTTGTGTATCTCTTGGACTAGCGTTATGTTCTCTTTAATATTTTTGTACAAAAGAAAAACAGGTCCACTTATAATTTGAAATATTTGAACACAAAGTTCTCACGCTACTTCCAACTGTTTGAAAAGTTGATAATAGCTCTTAATTATTATACTTTTATTTCCTTATATCAGTACAAACTATTACTGCATGGTCTGAAGGGGGCAAACATTTTGATGGGAGTTGGGAATTTACTCACTCAATTTCAAACTTGTATGACCTGCTTTTGTGGGTATTTTGATAACTATCGTATTGCTGTATGGTTCAAATTTATTGATTTCCTTTTCTTTTATGCCAAATATAATTAGAATACTAAGTAAAGATCATGCTCCATGAAGACATTTGTAAATTTCCTGTATATATGTCAAAAGTAAATATTTGTTTAGCTTTGGACGACTTTAAAAGTGATTTTCTCAGTAGTTACACTGTAAAAAATGCTTTTCTTACTTAGACTTTTTGTCTTGTTCCTAGTCCAAATATCTAAAAAATCTTATTGTCTTGTTTTCAGAAATAATATGGTAAAATTTACTGAGTTTCGTTAAAACAAGCAAAATAATCTTATGTCAAAAGGAAAAACAAGATTTTGCTTACCCCATTGGCAGATTATTTTGTTTGTTCTAGGAACAAACTAACTTTATAATGGCATATTATTTCTGAAAACAAGAAATAACATGTTTTGCTTGCCTAGAAAATGCTTTTTGATATAAGAATTTTTATATATTTGGACAAGAAACAAGACAAAAAAATCGAAGTAAGAAAAGCATTTTTTGCAGTGTAGATTTTTTTTGCAGCCACAGACTTTTAAATAGTTGAATGCTAGTTTATTTATTAAGCATTCACGTGATTTCAGCTATAAATAATTTGCCCTTATGACTGGCTTTGTGTTCCAATGTAAATCAATGACTAAATTTTCACATTCAAATAGTGATTTGTTTGGTCTGTGGAATGTTTTACATTTTTACATTATTATTATTTTAGGTTACAGACATCACAGGTGGAAACACAGATCAGGACACCACTGTACAGAAACGTCCATCTGAAGAATGCAAGAGCTCTGCTGACCATCATCTGAAACCCTACAACAACCTTCAGTGTGAGGGTGAAGTCATTCTCAGCGGCCTTGATGTAAGATTTAAGCATGAATTAGCATTTTTCACAGAGCATAACATGATTAATAGTGTATTTAGAAATGTCTGATTTTGCAGACTGACAACAGCACTAATGACCTCCAGGTTGTGAAAAACAGTGTGCAGACAGAAGTCTACAAAAAACAGCCCAAACAAGAGCTAGTGGTAAACATCAATCATTGAGTTTCAGAATAATCGGTATTAATCAGATTTCTCAACAAACCCCTTAAGTAATCATATCTCATTACCCCGCAGAATGATTTTGTGGATGAAGATGACTTCCTGAAGGCAGCGCTGGATAATAAATTGCCAATGATCAAAAGTTACCTCGCCAGAGGTGCAGACCCAAATGCATGTGATAATGTGAGTGTTTTACCAAACACACCTAATGAAATTCCCCTGACAGCACTTACATCTAAAGAACTAAACGTGTTTCCTTTAGTTCAATCGTACAGCTCTACACAGAGCTTGCTCACAAGGAAACGTGGAAATTGTGAACGCACTTCTGGAAGCTGGTGCTTCAATAGGAAATAAAGACAAGGTATTGTAAAATGTTTACATTTTACTTCATTATGTTTGTGAATTAAGTTTTTTCTGATAGATATATTTATTAATGCTACTTTAAATGTCAGTGCAAATATTAATAAGAGTATTTTTTTTTTTTTTTGTAAAGGCAAGTCTGAAATATACTCTTTACTATTTTAAAGAAAGGTGTCAATATAATTGAAAACCACAATTTAGGGATTGTGGGTGGCACAGTGGGTAGCACTGTCACCTCACATCTAGAAAGTCGCTGGTTCGAGCCTCAACTGGGTCAGTCAATAATATCTGGATGCAGCCTTTATGATGCAAGCTGACATTGCATAACTCAACAATGCAATGCCAGACACAATGCACACAAATCGAGTGAGTGACGACACTGTGAGGGGTAGGGTTAGGGGTGGGGTAAGGTGAGCCATTAAGAGCATTGGATGCATCCCAGATTGCACTGCACCAGGTCTGTATCCAGACCCCTCTCGGGTCCGTTGGCATTTCTGTGTGGAGTTTGTATGTTCTCCCCGTGTTGGCATAAGTTTCCTCCCGGTGCTCAGGTTTTCCCCACAAGCCCAAAGACATGCGCTATAGATGAATGGGGAAGCTAAATTGCCCGTAGTGTGTGTGTGAATGGGCATGTATGAGTGTTTCCCAGTGATAGGCTGCAGCTGGAAGGGCATCCGTAAAAACATATGCTGGATAAATTGGTGGTTCATTCCGCTGTGGTGACCCCAGATTAATAACATTACATTATTTAGTTACACTTAGTTCTATATAAAATATTATAAATTATTAATTGACAAGTATCATTTTTAACCATATATATTTTTATACTCAGGTCAGGAGTTCTCACTGTGTTCTTCTCTTTTTGTTTTTTTGCAAACATCAGTTTTAACAAACTGACTTATTTCAACAAGCTGCTTATATTAAACACACTGTACATTTTCAAGCATCAAAAAACTAAAACAACCCATTTGTTTTTGTCATGTATTATAGAAGACAGACATTAAAAAGTCAATGTATCAAGTTTGTAAAAGAAAAAAGATAAGCATAAGAGCTAGCTGCTGGCAAAAGAAAACTTAAAATAAAAAAGAACAATAAATTAATCTTCAATCAAAAAATGACATTTTAAATAAGCCAAAACAACACACTTCTTTCATTTTTTTTAATTAATTTATACATTCATTCATTTTATTTTCGGCTTAGTTCCTTCAGTCCCTAATCAGGGATCGCCAAGGCGGAATGAACTGCCAACTTATCCAGCATATGTTTTACACAACAGATGCCCTTCCAGCCACAACCCATAACTGGAAAACTTCCATACACACTTATTCACACAAAGACTACGGACAAGCTTACCCAATTCACCTAGCGCATGTCTTTGGACTTGTGAGAAACCGGAGCAACTGGAGGAAACCAACGCCAACACAGGGAGAACATGCAAACTCCACACAGAAATGCCAACTGACCCCGACGATTGTTTTATTACTTATCAGTTATTTCAGACATTCTACTTTAATATGAAATAGAAATGGGACATGTATTTTTCACTTATTTTAAAAAGCAGGATGCAAATTCCTTCTATGCATTCATTGTTTTGTTTAACACTGACGAACTATCTCACTGTCATGATTGTGTTTAACTAGCTTCAAGCAACTGAAGTCCACTGGGCTTGTCGTGGAGGTAGTTTGCCTGTGCTGGAGGCACTACTTAATCACGGGGCAAACCTGGATGCCAGAGACAAGGTACAAAATTTGTAGTTTGACAGGCAATCAGGTTTAATAATGTATCTGATAAGTCTGACACACTGGCCATCCTCAGCTTCGCAGCACTGCTCTTCATGTGGCGGTCAAGACAGGACACTACGAATGTGCTGAACATCTCATCCACTGTGGCGCAGATGTCAACGCAAAAGACATAGTAAGAAATGTGGACGAATAGACGTTGACTTTATATAAAGACACTGAACATATTTAATCCTCCTTTAATAAACATTGTTTCACATCAGGAGGGTGACACGCCATTGCACGACGCAGTCAGCCTGAATCGTTTCAAACTCATCCAGCTTCTTCTACTGCACGGAGGGGACTTACATATCAAGAACTTTGTAAGTATTCTTAAAATATAATTATATAATCCTGCTGCTGATAATTAAGTACAGATACAACTAATAAAAAGTAACAATTTACACAGGGTGTAGCCAATAAATTCTCAGCTGTCATGCCTAAATGTATGTCACCAAAGATTTTTGCTTAAACTGCAAACAGTGCCATCTTCTGGTACACATGTAAATAGATTTATTTTGCTAGTAGGGGAAAAAGCTATTCAGAATTTACCTTTAGCACACTATACGAAAATTCCAGATTTTCACAACGTTACTGTAGTTTCCCACAGTAAATTACATTAGCATCACTTTACAGGATTTAACTGTAAAAATTCACAGTGATGAGTCGTATTCAGAATTTTATTTTGAAATTAATCAAATTAACATGATTACAGCAAACTATTGTAAAAAGGGCTATATCTAATACATGTTATAGGAATTCAAACTCTTTTCATTTAATTCAGTGTAGACTTTTATGCTAGTATTGACACTTTTTTGATATTTAGAAATAACAATGTTATTGCAGCCCCAAAAACAATTTGGTTACAACTTAAAAAAATAAACCAAAAAATCAACCTGTTTTGAAACAAGATTAATGTCATGGTAAATTTTCACTTTTGGGTGCACTGCATCTATATTTAATTGTATAAGGTTAACTTGTAAATATGGAATAATTTTTATTAAACATAATTTTGTGCTTAACCAAAAACATAATAAACTGGAACAAAAGTAATTGATACATAAAACCAAACACTGTTAAACACCTAAAATGATTTCAAAGTCAGGGTAAATGTCAGATAGACTAGCCGAGGAAAGCCTGCTTCACCGTAAAATAGTTAATTCTTCAAGATTATCCAGTGAAATCACAGTAATGTACTTTACTATCTACTGTGAAGTTACAATATATGGCTTTAATTTCACAGTAATTTAATGTTACAAAAAACGAAAGTTAATTACTGTGAACAACTTCAACGGAATTTGTTGTGAATTTACATAGAGTATTTTACTGTGAAAGTAATGCAAATTTTAAAAAAGAAATTTACTGCGAATTTAAGGTCAAATTTTTCAAAATGCAAAAAAAGTAATTTTAGCAAAGGTTCAGGACTATTGCTTGCTCACGCTTATTATTTTGTATTCTGCAGGAGGGAAAGTCACCTATGGACAAGGTGTGTGAGTGGCAGAATGGAGCAAAATCAATCTTTGACAACTTTCAAGACAATAAAAAATAAATGCATCACATGACCACCTGGACAACTCTGGGCTTAATATCATCCAAATAAACTATTATGAGATATTATGAGCCTGCATATTAAAATCTAATATGTGAAGAAGATATATTATTGAGTTATAAGAATGTTTTGAGAGTTTTGGCAAAGCACTTCAACTTTTTTATTATTAAATTATAGAGAAAACAGAAAGGAATGCGAAGCCTAAATAAATATCGTCTTCTTTTGTTGACATGGGAATACAAATGAAACTGCTGAAATTAAATCATGAATGATAGGTGTGATTTGATATTCCAAAACTTTATTACAGAATGTGCTTTTTGTGCATGACGTCTGTACAGAATATGACATAAGAATTTTTGTACTATTATATGTAAATTTTGCTTGCAATTCCATTAAACCTTAACTAATAAAATACATTTTTAACACATCTGCGTCATCTTTCATTTTTTAAAGTGATTTGCAAGACTTTGAGAAGTAACAAAAAAGTTTTACATTATGATATATTTGAAAAAACAAACAGGATTTAGTAAAAACTCTAGCTGAAATGCTATTTAGGCTAGTTCAGTTCTGGCTTTTTTGGCAGCCGGAGTTTCCTCTTCTTCCTTCTGGAGAATTTGTGGTTTCTTCATGGTGTGAATAACACCAGATGCAGTTGCTCTAGTTTCTGTAATAGAAGAATTGCATATTAACAAATCTAATAATGTAACTATTTACTGGAAAAAAAGGCAAAGAGTGAGACTTATAGTTTCAATTATTTACCTCCATGTAGCAAGACAGATCGACAGTTAGTTGACACAGCAGCTTTAGCGTCCCCCTCAGACAAGCTGAAAACAAGCCCCCTGTAGTCTCAATGAAGGAACATTCCAACACGGATACAGTGCCTTACAAGTCCCACTGCATATTTAAATAACTTATCCATACACTTGTTAAAAAGGATACAAATTGGCAATGTCATATGGGCCCCTCAGTTCAAGTTGCTGAAGAAACAAAAACAATAGACAAATGTAACACTGAGCTTACAACATTATAAATATATAATACTTTACAATTTTATAAATGATTCACTCTATTAAATTGTAAAGACATTTTACCCTTTCTGCTCCACTGGACACTATGACATTCTTTTTGTGAGGGAAAAAAATCCAAAATCAGCATAATACATTATTATATATTATAGAAGTTTATGTGTAAAAAGGAAGAACATACTTTTCCTTTGCAAATTTCCATTAGGCAGATTGCATTGGCAATGGTGTATCTCCTTGTAATGGAGTCTCTGATTGCTGCTGCATAACAAGTCTCAAAGAAAATCCCCCTGTCAATAGCCTACAGAGAACAACATGACAGAAGTGACGTTACACAAACTGAAGTTAAAGGTGCAGTAGGTGATCTGCCAAAATGCTAACCGCTTAACACAGAGGTGTCTAAACTCGGTCATGGAGGGCCGGTGTCCTGCATATTTTAGTTCCAACCCTATTTAAACACACCTGAACCAGCTAATCAAGCTCTTTCCAGGTATACTACTAGACTTCCAGGCAGGTGTGTTGGAGGAAGTTGGAGCTAAACTATGCAGGACACCAGCCCTCCAGGGCCGAGTTTGGACACCCCTGGCTTAGCATATTATCTTTGGACGGCGGGGAGGGACTGTGATTCAAAGCCACGTCCCCTGAAATCGAGAACGCGTGCACCGCGTCACAACAGCAGACAACCCCCTAGTTCATGTCATTCGCCAGTTAGTTAAGTGTTTGGCCGGCGGCATGCAGGAATTACATTTATTACTAAGCCATACTTGCATGCTTTTTCAGAGAGAATATTCAGAGTAGCATGCTAAACTGTATATGAAGGCTCTCGTTGTTCAAAAATGACCCAATGTGAATATAAAGGCAACTTCAGCTCAATAAAGCAGGTTAGGTGGAATAGTGCTTTTTACAGATGTTCTGTTGTTAAACTAAAAACAAATCTACATTATTTATGCTGTAAAAGGTCTTTTATGAACCTAAAAAAAACTCACATCAATCTTTCACCGGGAGATTTCAGTGGCTGAACAACACGTTTGTGCATATAAGCTATTCATAACACAACACAATCTAACATCAGCTTAGCCTGACTAAAATGGTTTTAAAACAGAACATTACCTGTCTAACAGTAATACTTCAGCCATGGTGTCGTCCTTCCTCCAGCGTGCAAAAGTAACTACAATATTGATTCAGGTTTTTAAAAAGTTTAAAGTCAGCATTTGATTTCACAGCGTCTGTGACTGTCTCGTGAACACGCGGTGCTCATGCAGACTAGCACGCGCGAATGGCAAATCTGCGTGAACAGATACGCAGAAGCTCAAATCTACATTTGCTGACAGACAGTCTGAGCTACTTATTGGAATTATGGGCGATGTCGGCCATATGATGAACATTTTTTTAGTTTTATGCATTACCCCGATTATAAAAATAGATATAAACACATTTAGATAATTTACTCTAATCATTACTACTGGACTGTGAAGAGACTTTTAACCAGCACAACAAAACATGTTTCTGAAGACAATCACCTACTGCACGTTTAATGAACTGTCAAAATAAAATTTCATGCACTCAAAAAAATAACACTTTGGTTGAACTTGACTTAATCCTTGATAGTGGTTCCCACATGATTTCACCACATTATCTTACACATGACTAGGTTTACATCAGTAATCAAATAATTTACCTTAATCTAAATAAGACAATAATACTATTAAGGTGTTTACATGAGTTGCTTTTTAATGTTCCTTTCATAATCCTGTTTTACATGTTATAAGACAGTTCAATTGAAGTCATTGCTTCACCATGCTATCCATGTTTCCCCTGGAGTTTCATCTCTTATTTTCAAATATAACTGCAGTCCAGCAGTTTCATTTTTATTCAGGAACATTTCATTCATGCCTCTGTCACAAACTGAGGTATTGGATGCGCGTACGAAGTAAGGACTGGTGGAAGAGTGTTGTCTTAATGGAATTTGATACTGCACGCTACATGGTAAGAAAAAATCTCAGCACTTTGTGATGCAATTGTATGTGGTCCTTTACTGACTCAGTACCTGCAGAGAAAAGTTGTAATTAAACAGCAGTGTGTGTGTGGAAAATCCTGTTGAAACATGTGTCGAAAAGTTCTACATGACGGTAATAGTTTGGTTAAAGTGTTTACATGTCAGTACTGCCCTTTAATAATATGACTAAAATCAGCATACTCCAAATCTCTCAATTCAATTAGTTTAATTCAATTATGACTTTACAATTTTAAAGGCAATAAAAAAATAGCTGTTTACATGTTAGACTTTTAATCAAAGTATTGTGTTAATTGTATAAAGGACTATTGGTGTCCATGTAAACATACTCATTGTATGATTTTGAACCAGCTGAAAATAATTGTGTTTATTTTACATGAACAGATGATGTTCACTAAACATGATTTAAATCTTTCTATTTAACTTAAATGAATGCTTTTTTTGTTGAACTTCAAATAGTCATGTTAAATGAACACATATATTTTAAGCTGGTTTAACATCATACAATGTGGTTAAGATCATTTAGTGTAATTACATAAAGCCCCTGTCCAAAATTAAATCATGCTCAGCCAAAGAGCTATTTTTTGAGTGTGACGTATATTATTTACTGACAACAACTACAGTAATATACCAAATACCAGTTTATCTGTCCAAAACTGCTAAAGGTGATAATACACAGGGCAACCTTTAAAGCAGTGTTGCTGAGCGATGTTGCTTGGCTATTTTGTCATTGAGAATGGCCAACAAAACTGTATCTGAATCCATTAAATCAGTTGTCTGCAATATTTTGAAATCCTCTAATCAGAATGCCAGGAGCGAATCATGTTAGAGCCTTTGACCTGTCAGAACAACTCAAACGAAGTGGCAGCCGCTCTGTGGCGATGGAGACAATGGCTTTGAAACAGTGAATACATTTGCAAAGCTATAGGATTATTTGTTTCAAAGCTTTGTTTATTTCATCTCTACTTTACTATCCCTTAAACCATATCATCGGCACAATGTGAAAAGTTGCTTTTAACATAAGAGGCATTTGAAAAAGTTGTTTAAATGTTTATGCTTTATGAAATTCCGCTAGGTGACCATGTACATAGGTATAGATATGGATAAAATGCAATAACTCACCCCATTAACTGGAGCCCTTTTAAAATGGAAGGGCTGTTTTTCCGTCACTGCAATGCAGATAATGTCAACATCAAAAGTCATGCAGGCTGCCTGGCTCAGGTGAGGGAAAAGACAAAGAAAATGTTAATACCACAATAGATTATATGTTTGATAATCAAAATGTATTTTATATATATATATATATATATATATATATATATATATATATATATATATATATATATATATATATATATATATATATATATATAAATATAAATCAAAAATGATAAACTAATTACCCATTATCCAAAATGTAAAGGGTTAGTTCACTAGGGTTAGGCACTTTTTATTATGGATGATGCACTTTATTGGAATTCTTTTGGACTGCTGATAATCAGCTGACATTTACCATTGCAGAGCTGGAAATCCTACATTTTTAAATAACTTCAATTGAATTTGAGTGAAAGGTAAGGCATATAAGATGCCGTGTGGGTGAGTAACTCATTTTCATTTTAGGGTGAACTAAACCTCAACTAAAACTAAAACACAATGTAGAATTGAAACTACACTTACATGAAAGAGCTTTTCAGTTTTGGGGTACACCGCCACAAGGTCAAATTTTTTGTATTCATTAGTAGGTCTCTAAGGAGAATAACACAAACAGTCTCACCATATAATACTGCAGTATATAATACAATATAATGTGTATAATACTTTAGCACAAATTATATTAGAGTTTACGAAGTATAAACTTACAAAATGTGATGCATCAGATGCCACAATGGTCAATCGATTTAGCACTTTGATTGGAGAAGATTTGCCCTATAACAGAAGAAAAAAATTAATTAAAAAGAACACATCATTGTTAATTATCTCGGAAGATATGTTTAAGCTAATTACCTGGACAACTGGAAATTTATCAAATAAGTCTGAAATACTCTGTGGGTTAGGAATTTCCTGTAAAACAAGAAAATAAGAGCATCATACAAACACACACACACGCACGCACAACTCGATAATGCAGTTTAGTTTAACTCCTCTATATTGTACCTGTTTCTTCTGTAGTGGCTCAACTACATAGTTTATTGCAACCGTTGAGTAGCCAACTGAAAATACAGCAAAAAGTATATGAGCATTAGGGGTTTCTCTAAAAGTACAGCATAATCTATGCATTTCTTAGTCTAACTAATCAAAGTTAGCCATCGCCATTACGTACTGGTTATCCTGCTAGGAGCAGTAGACAGCTGGTAAATAGTAATAATCAGCTAATTATGAAAAGTTGAAATACGTTTTCAATTACTAACAACTTTTGATACAAGATTCAACGTAAAAAGGAAATATCAATAAACACTGTATGAACAATTAATAACGTTTCATACTTCGCTTACACACGTGAACACTAACGTTAGAGAATACAACTGTTATTGCGCCGCATTATAGATATAGTCGGAGATTGAGGTAAAGTTGGTTTTATATTCACACATTCGTTCAGTGACATAAATTGCATACACTTCACAAACTGTGAACAATGCTGTACTTTGATAGTTGTTGACTGCTAATATGATTTTACCATTTACAATGAATACTTTTCTGAAACTATATTATTAATGAGAAAGACTGAATGTGCGAATATAAAACCAACTTTCAATTAGTCGGAGCTGGGAATTTCAGCAATGAAACGTCTGACCTCCAAGAGCTGAGAACAGAATAATTAGTGACGTTTTCCTCATCGTTTGACAGATTATCCGTTTAATGTGCCTAATGTGATTTGCTTGTGTCTGTAATATATCCGACATCCTACTCCAAAGCACTGTTCAAACGGCGTTCTACGCGTTATTTTTAAGTCATGTTAGGGGGAAACCAATCCAAATTGTCTGGATCGTAACTGTACTGCTACTTACGGTGAGCAGCTGTCTCTATGATGTGTTTCAGTCTGTTCTTATCACTACTATTGATGATGTTTAAATCCATAAACACAGACATCTTTCTCCTATTGATGGGATTCGGGAAAAGTGTTCACTGGTAAGTTCATATAAGAATACACCGTTTCAACTACTGAACACACACATCCATGGTACAGAGAACCACATGGTAAAATATGATCTCCTTCGTTTGGTGTTTTTTAAGACTGATAGTAAGCAAATGATAGGTACATTACCGTCACCTACTGGACTGGAGTGAGAGCATTAATGGAATAGAAAGTACAAAATCACAAAAAAACTAATTCCTGGTAAACAGACTTATTATTTTAAAACTGTGTAATTTAAACCACAAAAATACGTTGATTTCTCAAACAAGTTCGATCACAAGATAAAGCGTCAACCTATAACTGAGCCTTGTGGGCTAGTTCCGTTTTACTTTTCCTTACATTAGTTTCGACCGTCCTGTCAGTCAACCAGAACCACAGTATATTTTACTTCCTGTTGGAGGTGGAGCTACGTCTGTAGCGTGCTCTCCAATTGGTCGGATTTAAACAGAAGGAGAACCGCGACCACTGGAAAGAAGCATGTAAGCGATGTAAACGGGATAAACAAAAGGAAATAATAACAATAAGGGAAAAGTAAGTGAAATTATCTGAAATGAAAACACACAGGGAATCGTTTTACATTGTTTCATGCTATTAAACAATGTTGATTAGTTTAATGCGATACGAATAAGGTTAACATGTTTTACGAAAGCTAGTTTTAACGCGTTCGGCAACGTTAGTAAGTTATGAGTCGTTGTTCCATTTGTCGCCACCTAACGTAACGTTAAATACATCTTTATTATTACGCAATAACTTTCTTTATTTAAACGTCAAACTTCTTTACAGGTTTGATCAAGATGATGGAATCGTGTTTAAATCACAAGCCTGACCGTGTCGACTCTATAACGGTTGAAGACCTCCGAAAAGATCTTTTCTCCGAGTTCTCCAAATTATCCAGGGTATTTATTATCTCATCTTCTAAAGCAGTCGAATCCGATTTTTGGCCGAAGCTAACATTTCCTGGTGTACATTTCTCTTTCTAACAGGACTCGGTGTCGCTTGAAAAAGAGCATTTGCAGGTCTATCTCCGCGTACGTCCGTTCACCTCAACAGAGAGAGCTGAAGGAGAATCACAGGTGCTTGCACATTTTTGACAAATCTTTGAAAATATTAAGTTATAAGACTTTTCCCCATGTTCATGTTTAAAACCCCTTATTATAACTTTTAAAAACATGTTAAGTTGAATAGCGACGTCATTTATATTTTCCCTTTTGTTGTTTTTGGAACAACATGAGAAATGGTGACATTTATTTATTTGTTTATTTGTTTGTTTGTTTGACAGATTATCCACTTAATTCCCCTTATGTAATATGTTATTATGTGTGTAACTTCATCCAACAGGATTGTATCTCCATTGAGCCTCCAGATACTGTGATTCTGAAGGCACCAAAAGCATCTCTGACTGCCAGACACAGTGAGAGATTTGGACCACAACTGGCACAACGATTTCAGTTCTCACAAGTATGACACCTCTACAGTCATTTATTTGAAATATATTTTAGGAATTATATATAATATAATATATTATAGTATTAAGTATTTTTGAGGTTTAATTTATTCAACATGACATTTAAGCTTAATTCATTTTTAGGTGTACGGTCCCGAAACAACTCAGAAAGAGATTTTTGATGGAACAACCAAAAGTCTTGTTAAAGAAGTTTTGGACGGAGGGAATTCCTTGATTTTTACATATGGAGTTACCAATGCTGGGAAGACATTTACTTTTCTTGGTAAGAATGTTAATATTGACTTTATTCTTCATGTATGACTTTTTGGCTCAAGACTTCTGGTTTCATTCACTCCTATTGATGTTTAGACTGCTTGATGTTGCAAACTTATGTTTCTTATTATATATTCTACTTTTTATATATGAACACACTTGATTGTAGAACAAGTAGTTTGACAATTTTCTGCCGTTAATTATTGTAATTTAGTTGCAATCGCAAAAATGAGCCAACTGCCACATTGCAGAATAAAGTCAATAGTTTTCTGCTTTGTGTATATCTTTTCTAGGGCTGGGCGATTAATCAAAAAGTAATCCAAATCGACATTCAGAACCAAAAATTGATCTAATTTTTCCAGGTCAATTTTTTAAATTACTTTCCCTTCTTCCTGTGTGGAGTCACGTAACCCCGGTTTATTAAGGCTGATTTATACTTCTAAGTCGAACGCACGGGTTTGGTCCGTCACAGCCTTAGTTAAAATGTAACTACACGTCGCACGTTTGCACTACATTGACCATAAGTGGAAGCAATGCCAGAGATGCTTTGAGACGGCATGTTTTCTTTTACAATAACATTATTATTTACATTGAAATTATTGTTTACAGAAAATGCAAAAAATTCATTGTTTAAAATATTACAAGATAGAAGATATAGAGATACTGCTTATTTTTCAACTTTTAATATGAAAACATTGAAAATAATTTATCTTGTTTCCAAAAGTGCAAGTTATTTATTTTCACTTTTTTTTATAAGGAAAAAGTCACTGTTTTAGGCAATGTGTGTTTTAATTTTAGCTGTTCAACGTTAAATTAATAGATTGTAGTTAGTGTGTTTTTCCTTTAATTTTTTCAAAATCAAGTAATGCATCCTTCATTCAAAAATCTCCCACTTGTTATATGTCAGCTTATTTACTCGACAAAACCTGTCAGTAAACTATGAGGCCAAAAAAAAAAAGAAATAATTAAATAAAAAAATTGCTCATTAATTGTAATCAAGTAAAAATGTTCAATTAATTGAGATTTTGATTTTAGGCTAAATTGCCCAGCCCTAATCTGTTCTGTTTATTGACACATACTTATGTTTGTTTATAGGCCCTGAATCAGATGGTGGAATTTTGCCCCGGTCATTAAACGTGATTTTTAACAGCATAGAAGGCAGAATTTATTTGCAAAATAACATCAAACCTCACCGATGTGTTGACTTCACAAGACTCACCAAAGAGCAGCAAGATGAGGAAGCTACAAATAAAAGAAACCTTCTGCGGCGATTTAAAGATGTACATTTATTTATATATTTTATTTTATTTAATATATATATATATATATATATATATATATATATATATATATATATATATATATATATATATATATTTTTTTTTTTTTTTTTTTAAGTATAGTATGTTATTATTTTTTTAAGTATAGTATGTTGTTTTAGCAATACTCATCACGATTGTTTATTTATGTTTATCAGAATGACTCCCAGAAAACTTTGTCCAGCATGTCCAGCTCAAGTTGTTCATCGTTTGACAGTAAGCATTATCAAATGGTTTATCTTTCGCAGAAACAAATTTAGTGTCAGTTGTTGCAAGCATCTTCATCAATGCTGATTTGTCGTTCTAGGCTCCACATCTAGTGACATGAATGGAGATAGTGTCTATTTGGATGAGGACTCTCATGTTAAATTCTCAGTGTGGGTCTCATTTTGTGAAATCTACAATGAAAGCATCCATGATCTGCTTGATTTTGTTCCAAATGGCTCTCACAGAAGGAATGCATTGCGGTTAGCCCAAGATGTTAAAAGCAATTCTTTTGTTAAAGGTAATCATATAACTTTTAATTATTAAGTCTAATTTTTACTCATTTTATGTGTACAAAGTGTAATAACTGTAATAAAAATGTAAATAATACTTGTTATAGTATAAATGTTTAAAATGTATAAATAGTTTAATTTTATTTTCTTTAATAATTCATAATGCACATATATTTTTTCAGCATTTTATTTTCATGGTAGTTTGTTTATAATTACATTATATGGTTATTTATATAATTTGTCGCATTTTGTTTTTATCAGATCTAAAATGGGTTCAGGTTAACAGTGCAGATGAAGCATTAAAAGTTGTGAAAATTGGTAGGAAAAATCAAAGTTTCTCATCCACCAAACTCAACAACATCTCAAGCAGAAGGTATTTCTGTTTAAAATATTTTAACATTTAATTTATCTACATTTCAAAATGATGTGAAATGTAAATATAACAAATTTTCTCTATAGCCACAGTATATTTTCCATTCGGATGCTAAGGATTGAAGATGTGGGTGTTCCTCGAGTCCAGACAATAAGCGAGTAGGTGACCTCCATACTAATATGCTGCACTTTTAATTTAACATGAAACCATTGATTTGTTCTTTATTTATAATAAAGGTTGTCATTATGTGATTTGGCTGGATCTGAGAGATGTGCAAGGACTCAGAATAGAGGAGAACGCTTAAAAGAAGCTGGGAATATCAACACCTCCCTGTTAACTCTAGGAAAATGCATCAATGCCCTGAGGCTCAACCAAACTCAGTCCAAGTGAGAAAAATGTCCATGTTAATTACTAAATTAATTAGATAAATTTTTCCTGTTAAATATTTCTTTACATTTCCTTTCAAAATTGGGACTAAAACTGCATTAATATGACTGTTTGCACAGGTTTCATCAGCACATCCCCTTCAGAGAGAGCAAGCTCACACATTATTTGCAGGGGTATTTCTGTGGCCGTGGAAAAGCTTGCATGATCATTAACATAAACCAGTGTGCTTCAGTGTATGATGAAACTCTGAACGTTCTCAAGTTCTCAGCAGTGGCTCAGAAGGTCTGCAGGATCCTTTAGTGTCATTATTAACTGAATAGAAGCACAGTTTTAAGACACTGAATTGTTTTGTTCTTACATTATTTTGTCCTTAGGTAGTTGTCCTCAACCCTAAACCAGCTCCAAGCATTGCACTCAAAAGATCTGCCAGAGATGTGTCCATGATAATCAACAATGCTGACAAGAAGGATTGGACCAGGAGAAGCTCGATTATGGGCTGGGAGATGAGCCTAGAGGACGTGCAGGAAGATGAAAATGATGAAGACATGGATGAGGAAGAGGTGGAGAGTGACGATGAGAGCATAGTGGACAGAACTGTGCTAGAGACTGTGGAAAATCAAGAGCTGTGTGAGGTACTGAATACCTTTTTCCATTTTCATGAATTTTCAGGATTATTTTTCTTAACTATATAATATGCTAATTAATATTTATTTATGCCACAGCTTCAGGTAAAAATTGAAGAACT